CATGGTGGTTCTCAGTTGATCATCACGACTGTTGCACCGACGCGAGCACCGAGTGGCCTGGGGATTAGTTTGCAAAGTGCTTGGAGTGGAAAGACGAAGAGGTGATTCCACTTTGGTGATTTGCGGCAAAGGTGTGATCGCAGCACATTGAGCAACCAACAGACTCCTGTCTACAGAGGTGGCTGGAAAAGATGAAGCAATGGTTTTCCTTGGATCTTGCACGCATTAAGTACAGTTAAGACCTATCGTATATATTATTATGAAGTACCACCTCCAAAAATCGTCAGGTGCAATCATGCCTGTTAAGCAGTTGGCAGCCACCAAGCAATACGGTTGACGCGGTGGAAATCCTGCTAGATGTGTTGCACGGACCGTTTAGGACACGCCATTCAAAATATATAACAGTCATTCTGAGTCATGCTTCAAAGAAAGCATGTCACCAAAAACACACCGGAGTGTTTTTCAATTTCCCAGGATTCACCCCTCTTTGCATTCCACTTCCTAGCTTCGCTTGATCCGGCGCTGAGCGGCTCAACCCCTAGCTTCGCTTCGCTTTGCGTTCCGACACTCGGCCAAAGGAGCCGGAGAGGACCGGGCGAAAACGACCGACGTGGCCGGTTCCGTTGGAGTCCGGCGGAGTCCGGCGCATCCGACCCAGACACACCAGACACTCCATGGGAACTGGCATAGGACTGCTGCCGAACCCAGGTCAACCACTCCAACTGAGCGGCATATATGGCATACATTCATGGAGTGTTTGGGTATGCTTTGGGATGTTGATTTCTGACTTTTGAGGTCAGTTTGGGTGTTCGGGGAGACCTTTGGTGGGCTCCCCTTTTTTGAACACGTCCTCGAACTCATCATGTGGCCTCCGCACCCTCCTCACTAGACCTGTGGCTTCTCTCCAGATTCATCCGACTGTCCACTGGTTGCGCGATTCCGCGGCCATGACAGGTGGGCCACCTTTGAACCCTGCCGTTGGGGTGCCCCGTGTGGGGCGCGGCATCGACCGGTCGAGCGGGCGTGCTGGTGCGGTCTCACCAGAGAGGCTGTTGTGGGCGCCCAGTGTGCTCCCAATACTGTAAATATATGGATAGATCGGGTGACATGGTCAGTTGGCCATGTTTTCGATGTTTTGTTACTTTGATTTTGGGGGTTGGCTGTAATTAAGTCTCAACTGTGCTTTCTTGGTTCACTTCATTTCACTGATCCCAAATGGTTCCAGCCCTACGAAAAAGTCCTTGGACTCTCCGGAGCTGCTGCTGTCACCTAGATCCTTCCAAGCTCGGTGAGAGGGAGCTCCCCATCCAGCACACCCCCATGGGTGAACAGACGGAACTGCTGGTGAAGGGTTCTTCACGGGCGACCACGGTGATGGGATAGGGAGGCCCCCCCATCAAGCAATGGGCTTCAACAGAAAAACACCTGAACTGCTGGTGAAAGGGTTCAAACATGGGCGAACTGAGGACGTGTCGTTGTTTTTTCTAGCGTAGTAGTGGGCTACCTCCTTTGTGCAATAGACATATGTTTTTACGATAAATTGAAAGGGAACCCACGAGTAGTTAAAAGATCAACTGGGTTCGAAAAGGATTATTAAAGGGAATCGCGAGGAATTTACAAAGACACAACTGGAATCATTTGGAGTCAAAAGGAGTTTAGAATTTGCCAAATTACAATATTATATACTAGAGTTGGCGCTGTTCCCAGCGGGGAATGACGGGGGAAGAGAATAGAAGATTCACAGGTTGGAAGAGGAACATATATATATATATAATTTAATATATCAAGATTGAATCACAAGGAATTTACAAGTATATCAATAAAAGGAGTTTAAATGAAAGGTCAATCACCACGTGCCACGTAATATACATCATGCCATCTCACATTTGGCCATGACGAGTGCTCCATAGTACTCCCATCTTTCTCCTGAAGTCTCCAAGACCAACAGCCCCGCCAACCGTCCCTGCCAACCTCATCTTCCCACGCCTGCCTGTGTGATCCAGGCCCATGCCGATCAGGCACTCTTCCGTGCTGCGCGCGAGGTGCGGTGGATCGGCACCGGGGGGGGTGTTGGATCGGCCTTTTGGAAGATGGTCCGTTTCTCAAGGCCCAGGGGGCGATTCAGATGTGTCAGATTGGGTCGCTATATGATGGTATATGTATGTAGGATGATAGTATATGATATATATGATGGTATATATATATATGTATATATGGTCAACCTTTCAGGCGCATGGGTGCGTTTTGGGGGTATGTTTGGGGTTTGGCAGCCAGGTCCACTTCACCGATCGTGGGAGGTTGGGCCGGTTGGGCCTTGTAACAAGGGTGGGGAAGATTTCCTGGATCAGCCTGGGGAGAAGGAGATTGACCTGAAGAAGGAGTGGAGAGACACGAGCAAAAGCGTATAGTATTTTATATACCGATTTGAGATCTGTCCATCGGCGAGTAGATCATAGTAGATCCTGAATCTCGACTTCTGATTTAATAGGACCCCCTATACAAAAGGGCTTACATGCACGTGTTGTTTATCAAGTCAAGAGGCTACATGACTCATGAGACGTGTGAGATTCAACTTTCCAGGCTTCCCCTGTTCACCTATAAAGCCCATGAGCTCCCTGCAATGGACCTCTGGAACCACCTGTCAGACATGCCAGCCAACCTATATGCCTGTCTTCCACACTTCTTTCAAGCGCTTTCCCTTGGGTTCGGTTCAATAGACCAGTCGTACCCCGCGAACAACGGGACGATCGGGGGAAGTCCCTTGTCCTCCAGGGCGACTTGGGAGTGCTGGAACGGCTCCTGGGTGACCGAGCCGGCAACCAACTCATCGAGGAGAGATCGCGTGGTTCGTGGAGGGTGGAAGGTCTTGGTGCATGAAAAGGTTTTGGATGTGGTTTCGAACAGTTGGAAGGGACAGATGATGTATTGTACTGGATGCGTCATGATGTGCCGATATTAGATGATCAGATGATTTGTTTGTGAGACCCCAAGAAGTTGTCCAATGGTGGGTCCAAACTTGGAAGGTGTGTCCTGGTGAAATTGAGTGGTTGGAGAGATGTGACCAAAGAAATTGATGAACAGAAACAGATACTTAGGATATCGTGTATGTATATATATATACTGTATATATGCACACACGCCTGGAAACCCATTTGACCACCTGTTTTGATTGGAAAGGACCAAATTTTGGGGAGCTTGGTGGTCCAAAAAGGAGGTCATTCAGGTGGTGAAAAGGTATGGGAGACATGTTCGCCTTCAGCCATTCACGGAGTGGTTCACCACGGTATTGCCGACAACGTTTGTATTGGCCGGGTGGAAGCTTTCAGGGTGAGTCTCTGCCGCTACTGATTCTGAAAAACCGGTGGAACTATCCGGCCCCATCCACTGATTTTTTCACAAAGCCCAGCAGAGGCTGGCGTGTTTTTTCAGCCACACTTTGGGGACAGCAGTGTTTGCTGTTTTTTCTGGAATCCATCCGGCATCCATCATGGCCCGCCTGCACGTGTGTTTTTTTTCTTTCTTCAGGACCTCCTCCCCAGCGGGGAGAGTCTCCTTCATACGGCTGCATGGTTTGGGGGCCCAGGGTCCGGCGGCTTCGACTATAGCACGTGGATCCTGAGCTCGAACCGGGTAGCCTCGTTTTGTGGAGCAGGGTGCTGCGGTTTTCAGCCTGAAGTGCCATAAAGAGATCTACAAAGCCAGCCTATCACTTTCAAGGCATTTTCATGTTGTAGGTGTTTACTTTGCACTTTTGTAATGCTGCATGACCGTGACCAGTCTCAGCATGTGTGTTATTATTCTTAGGTCTTTGACAAAAAGAAACATGAAAACCATCCACTCAAGAAACTCAAGCACCTGAAAACTATCCACTCAAGCTTCGTTCCCAGGAGTATTTGTTCAGGCGGGTTGGAAGTACCAGTCCATAGAAGAGATCCTGCTCCGTTACGCTGCAAGAAGAGCGCGGTTTCTTGATTTTTGTCTCCCACAAACTCTTTGCGCAAATCCCCAAGTCTCGAGCACACTCCCAAAAACCTCTCTACCTACCAAAAAATTGAGTTTTCAGAGATTTTGGAGGGAATTTTGTGGGCGACCTGCGGCGCGTCGGTTTCTTTTGTGGGGAGCCGAGAGATGTGCCGTCCAGGCATGGTCAGAGTGCTGTGGCACAGATGTTGTTAGCACGGCGTCATCCGGTCGGGGCTCCCGGCTCCCGGGAGGCAGGGGAATCTGATTTGCTTAGGACTCAGACTTCTTGGCCTCATGGGTTGGCTGCCTGAGTGAGCGCTATTGAGAAGAATTTTCAACATCCGGATGTGGACGATGTACAAAGCATGTTACTTGTAGTTTTGCACAGGGGTATCAATTTTGCACTAGCAAGTGGTATCATAGGTTGCTTTTCTCACCTTGTTGATGACCATTTGATTCACTCGGGGATTGGGCTAAGACCGAGACCCTTTCAACGGCGTGATTCGGGATTCGAAGCTCTTTGAGGTTGTGAACACCCCATGTGTCCCTCTCGAACTGACTGTTGCATGAACCCATGCGTCACACCAGGGACGAGAGACATGTTCTCCCAACCGATGACCGGGTCACTGACAGGTGAGACGCATGCCCAGCACCGGTTGCCACCGGCGATACCAGATGGGTCAACACCAGGCTCCAGGTGTTTTGCTCATGCGAGGTATGTGCCAAACAACGTTCCGAGAACACACCGACACGCCAAAAACGAACCCACACAAACCTTGCCATGAAAAGAGTGTCCTTTTTCCTGATCAGAAAGAGGACTGTTGATTTGTTGATGATTTTGCGTACATTTGGCTTCAGCTCAGTGTCGACAGCGGTAGGGCAAGCCATACAACTGCCGGATTCCCGATTCCAAACTGGTGGAGGAAAGTGTTTTCCCCAAATCTTTTTGGCAGGCAGGCCCTTTTGTTCAACTGAAGCTGATTATACATATATAATGTGCACTCTTCAAGTCATCAAAGAAAATACTTGTAAATCAGCATTTGCAGGTTGCCTTAGTCCCTGACATGGCGCCCCATCGAGATGTTCCAGGAGTTACCATGGCTCACCTGGACAGACGCCGACTTGGCTGATTTCGATCCCGATGAGAGTCGTCCCTCGGCGAGGAGCGTCGTTTTCCTCGGTCGGTGGGCGGTGTGGGAGGGTGACCATTTTTGTAGGTCTAGGAGACTTGAGTTGAGTGAGTCTCAGAGGTGGTTGATCCAGATTCCTGGCAAACTGGACCACTCAAGTCACTTAAACACTGAAAGAAGGGAGGGAGGGAGGACACAGACAATTGAGCAGTGAGTGAGAAACAGAATAACTATTGCTGTAGCACGGTGGCTTGGCCAATGCGAATGTCGGCTTTGGGATGCATTCCAAGGCCATCGAGAACTCACTCGACTCTTGACCTTATTTGGCAGGAACGCCCAATTTTTTGGATGATTGGTGCCAACAAATTGAGGTTACTCAGGTCATCTCAGATCTATTCATGTACCCAAACCTGGCCATGCCTCAAAGTTTGCCGAACCAAAAAGAACGATGGTACACTCCAACTTACTAACATGGAAGTGGATGGCATGGTCCCTTGGCAAGACCATTTTCCTTTACACACAGGGGTGTTCCACTCCACTTGCATGTGATGTTCGTGCGTCCCTCATCACACCGCAGGCGACCCCGTGAGCCAAGTCTCCGCAGCTGCCGAAGGCGGTGGAGCGGGGCTGGGGAACTCATGGGGTGAGCCTGCAGGGCACGAGTGTTGAGAAACCGCTGGAACTATATCCTGGTTTGGCTGATCAGGTGGTTGTCTTTCCCCCCTATGGTTAACTTCCCTGGGGAATATATGTTTTACTTTTTCCCGGCTTCCTGGATAGCAAATCCAAGATATAGAGCCCCAGTCAGTGGATATCCTCTTGACATTTGACCTTTTTAGGTACAAATAGGGGTGGTTGAACAGGGCTCAATGTAGACTTAATAATCATAATATTCTGTCTTGATTGAGCCTGGGGCCCATATTTATGGCATACCCTAAGGTCCAAGACCTTCCTCAGGAAGTACTTCCACCTCCACCTAAACCGTCTTGCAAGGCCTCCATGGTCCAACGGCAGTGCACCTGGCTGCACATCGTGCCCGCGATGCGGTGCATGTGACAACGTCCGAGCCCGGACAACGGCTGCTGCTGGGTGTCCAGACAGGACAGAGGTGCCTGGGAACCGCCATCGACACCGACAGCGATGCGACGAAAAACATGCGTTTCCTCGGAAAAAATTGAGAATGTGTATACCAGGAATCTTCAAGAGGTGTCTAATTATGGCTCCTTAGAGGTTAAGGGGTATCCATTAACCACTCCGACTGGGGGCCCTGGTAATTGTGTTCCATTTGAGCCATGTATATATATAATCATTCTTGCACTCTCAAGATCACCTCGTGGCTTCAAAATGATTGAACGATTTGTGGAAAGTGATGGTGCCATGGACATTATCATGAAACTTGGGACCATTTTTCACTTTTAGCCCGGCAGATTCTCAGATTGGGCCCAACATGAGTTGACCTTGCCTTCCAGATCTTAGCAGTATGAACTCGAGAAGGTCGACCGTTTTTTCTGTTATCGATTGCAATATACCAGGGAGTTGCCACTGAAGCTTGACCATGTGTCGACGTGTCAACGCTGTCCGGTTTCAAGTGTATGTTCCTCTACACAGCCTGGTGTCATTTGGTGTCCATCGATTCGTACCATGGAGTCGTGGTCAACCATCTGAAGGCCATTGGCAACCCCACCTCTGTGGAAGAGCCTATGGGGTGGCCCAACTGGCGCGGCGCCTACTCCGCCGCTTCGGGGGCTATCGCGCGACCGTGGCGCCGATGCGTTCACCAGGTTCCTGGTCTCGAGACCTGTGTGGGTCGCTCAATCGCGTCCTCCAGCTGTGAAAGATGGGTTTCAGAACGCAGACAGCAAGCTTGTCGAAGATGTTCACACTCCAGGGACCACAAGGGGTTAGCTTGCCGTGCGCCTGTCGCAAGGCAACTGTTACAGGTCTATTTAGGCCACGCTCAAAATGCAAGAGGCTGAACCTGTATCAGAAACACTGCTTCGTCAAAAGGCCGGCTCTGGTTTCGCAGGCTTTACAAGCTCCATTCGTTTTTCCTCAAGCGAAGCCATCTTTCGCGGAGGCTTACGTGGAAAGACGGCTCTCATGCAGACGCCTCTGTCACCCGGCACCGCAAACGCTGCAGGTGGATGCTGCAGCCGTCGGCATTTCGTGCCAATAGAATCCCCTTGGGGACGTGGCACTTGCCGCCAGACGCTCGGCGACCTGGACGGACCGGCCCCTCCTCCGGTGCAGTCGCCAAGGCTCGCGGATTTCCTTGGATGGTGAGGTTGCAAACCGCACGCAACCTACTTGGATTCGGCTTCGGCCATCAAGCGCTTGCGTGTTGGGACCCCTAGCTGGTGCAACACGCCAGGCAGTGCCAACGAGGCGTGATTCCTCGCAGTTCTTGAGGCGGCAGTGTCGCTCTGTGAAGGCCGGATCTTCGCCACAGCCAGCGACGCAAGCGACGCAGTCTGATGCCACCGCCGCGTTCGCCAAGGCAAGTAGATCATAAGGCCCAGATCGAGCAGCTTGACAACCAGCAGAGACCAGTACGCAGGGCGGTCGCACTACATGTCTCCTGGCGTGCTGTGACGCGCATTCTATTGGTTTTGGTGCTGCATCACGGTCTTGGTGGCAGCTGAATCGCCTTGGCAGGGCTGGGCGATGTGAATCTGGATAATGCGGATTGCAGATTTCCTGGCAAGCGCAGGCGCGGCACTTTGTACACCTTGAAGTGCAAGTTTCGTACGCTCTCATGAATATGTGTGTGCTCTCATGCGTGTGCTTTTACATGTCCTTCCATTTGTGGTCTCTACACCTCCAGCCCTAGATCTCTAGACCTCTCCCCCACCTCTACTGGTAGAGAATCTCTGGACCTAGACCTTCAATTGTAAACCTAGTTTGTGAACCATCACCACCATCACCACCACCACCACCATCAACACCATCAGCACCCACCCCTCCCTGGAACCAAAAACACGTCTAGATCTCTAGACCTTTTGCTTCTACACCTCCAGACCGTAGACCTTTAGACACACTGTTTGGATCTGTTTGGGGGGATAGATGGGGATTGTTAATTTCCATTCACTTCCTTCCTCACTTGGCCGGCCATCATCGGCCATCCCATGTCAGGGTCTTTCGCTGTTCGGCCCGTGTCAGGGTCCTTCTGTTGGACAAAGATCATCCAGCAGTGTCGGCCCCGAGTGGCATCAAGGTGGCTGTCCTTTGGGACGCTCGGGATGGCATCGATCGTGGGTCCGTGGGTCTTCCATGAAGGACTTAAGGGATGTTAAGAGCTGTCGAGCCGCACTGGGGATGTTGGGAACGCTAGAAGTCGTGGTGTGTTCGGTATGCTTTGCGTATCTATGCGTTGCGTTTGGAAATTTAAGTAGCGCGTTGGGTGTTGTCTTTGCCTCATCCTGGCATTCTCAAGCAAGGCTCAGCAACCTGGATGGTTTTGCAATGTTTTGCATAATTTGCCTCAATGGATGTGACTCAAAATTCCTTGGCGACGTCAGTTGCTGGTAAAGTCACTGAGTCGCACGCACGTGCAGGAAGGGCAGGGGATTCCAACCATCCAGAGGTCAGTTGCCAAGCCTCTCAGGGGGTCAGGCACTCCACGAACACCAGAGGTTTTGACATTTGGACACCCGCAGATTCCTATTTTTGCACATCTCATCCAATCAATTGGCCCGCATTCTCAGGCAAGACACCCTGTGTCCATCAATCACTCTGTCATTTTGTATCGGCAAGGAGTGATGAACATATTATTCATCCCAACGCTTTGAGGTACTAAAGGGATCCAAAGGGCAAGCCTTTCAGCAAAAATTCCAGGTGCAGGGTTCGATCACCAAGAGCGGTTAAGTGACCGTAAATAGGGCCGTCACCTGGGGTACCGAACGGGGTTCTTCAACCTTTGTTCGTTTGGTTCTTCTGACAACATGGTGGGCAGAAATCACTCACCTCCGGGGTGGTCGTGGTATGCCGTGTTTGCTCACTTGTTTGGCAAGAGATGTTGCATGTTCTCATGCGGTCACCCTTTCACCCCTTGCCATCTCATTCCCGTCCTTGCCTAGAGGTGTGGAAAGTGGGAAGGGAGTAGGAATTTCCCAGTTTGTTTCACCAACTTGTTTCATACTGTTGCCTGCAACCAAACTAGGTCGCTAGGTTGGAAACTGCCTTCGGAACTCAATGGACACATCCCAAAATCAAGCCAACCAAAGACCTTTCCAAAAAGCCAATTTGCTTCACACTTCCGCTCTTCCGAAGACTTCAGCTCTTCTGGGAAAGAAGACCCGCATGGAAGCTGGCATGCAAGGACTGGAACACGTTCCCAATACCAAACGGACGCGGTGAACTCGGCTTCTATATAGGTCTTCTTCTTTTGCTCTCTTAGGCGGTGAAGCCCGACGATTTGCTCACCCAGTTGCCCAAGCACTTTGCCTTTGGAGAGCTCTTGGGACAGGGGCAGTTCCTTGCCTCAGCTTCTTTAGTGTTGTCAGGTGGCATGGTGCTCCCTGCCAGGTGGCCTTTTTGGGGGTTTCATTTCATACCGCCGAGCCAGACCCTTGGCGAACTATTCCATCTAATGGTGATTTATATCCAAGCTTGGTGATCTCTTGCCCAAAACATGGTCACCATGGAGCTCGAGCTGGGGCGATTCTTTGTGAGCACGTGGACCGATTTCTTTCCGGACACATCACTGGGACGGGGCCGATCGTCCGTTGGTCCGGATCCCTGGCCCCCCTTGTCTGGCACCCAAATGTGGAGCAGATTTGGATCATGACATGGACCTGAAGCCAGTGGTTTGGGGATGTTTTGGGGTGACTAAGAAGCCTGGCTACAGTGTTGGGAGTTCAGATGAGGAGGAAACAAGCAGCATCGTTCCTCCATCAATCATCGAAGTGGACGTCCTAGCCCCTGGAAAGGCCATTTCCCTCTACAAGCAGGGGTTGTCCACTTCCAGAAAAGCGAAAGAAGTCCACTTTCGAGGAGATGAGAACGTCACTGCGCCGACTAAGGTTCTCAAAAGTGCTGGAGGCTCCGGGCCTTGAGTCGAACCCTCGTGGTTTTTGACGCATCGACATTGTCCCATAAGGGTCCAGGTACCTCCTCGAAAAGGTCTTGGAGGTGAAAGGGCATCGTCAGGGTCAAGGAATTGCAGATTTTTCAGCAAGTATACAAAAGAAAGAGCGAGAGAGAGAGAGAGAGAGAGAGATGAGTCAAGGAGTACTTATCCATCAACAGCTGTTGGCCATGCCCAAATCACACTCCTGCAGCGGAAAGCTTCAGAAACCTGTGGTCCAAGTCTTTAGCTAGCTTTTCGGTCAAAGTCCTTGCCGCAGGGCTCCAAGAAAGGTGTGACTGGAGCCTATTTGGGTTGGAGATTCGTGCTTCACCCCCTCCTCAGGTCACCGAGTGTGCCACTGGCCGTCGCTGTGTGGCCAAGACGCGCCTGAAGACGGACACGGCGGCGGCGGAGTTGTGGCATGAGGCTATGGCACTGAAGATCTTGCAGAAGAGCTCGGTGTTTCCGGAGCCTGGCCGTGTCGAACGGGCGCTCGTCGAGGTCTTCCCTAGCTCTCCCAAACGTGACCGTTTGGGACTGCCAGTCCGGACTGCCGATCAGGCCAGGGATGGTGCCAGGGGGGTCAATGTAGGCATAGAGTGTCTGGGTATGTGTGAATCCCCGTCTGTTCCTTTTTCCGGTGACCCGGTGGAGAAAGATGCAGGAGAACTGGAGAGTTTACGAACGGAAGGATGCAAAAGCGGATGTTCAAAAGAAGTGGGAGCTGAGTTGAAATTCTTGTGTTGAGGGGGAGTTGGCTTTATGTGCTCTTTTCGCACTAGAATTTATGTCCAGACTTGCTGGAGTCTTGGAACGTCAGGAACACCCTCACAACCTTCCGTCTTAGTGAGGGAACATCTATGGAACCCGTTTCCTTCCTGGGTGTCGCCTTGAGGATCTCACTCGTACGCACCCCCCATCTATGGAGTCCGGTGGCGCGTTGTCTCTGTCTAAACCCCCGGATTGGTCGCAAGATGGAGTCCTTGACCACCTCAAGGCCGGGTGGCCGATGCATTCACACGGCCCGAGCTCGGCCGGGTCCATCGCATTCACCGGTGCTTTCTGTTCCCCGGAGAGGTCGGCGCACGATCGGATGGCAACGATCGGAGGGGGATGGATTTCTGTTGGACATGTTAGTGGATCAAATATCTCCCACCGCAGGTTCAAACGGGATCCATAGTCCGGCAGACCATAGATCAGGTTTTGCCACTTGTTTCGATACGAACTCCTCATTTTTGAGCCATCTTTCTTATTGACACTTAGAGAATCATGCCCAAACTAACCATCATGCTTTGCCATTGTTTACCATGTCAATATGACCACATATCAATTCCAAAGAATGGAAAGTGATGGGACTGGAAACTGAAAGGTTTCAGTTTGCTTACGTTTTGTGGGTCAACGATCCCCACATCTAGATATATGGGTGTGTATCAAAATAGGGAGATTTCCCAGGCAACGACCCCCTGGAAGAAGGGAAATCTAGGTGATGGTTTCGGATATTTTCATGTTCAACCCAACCACTTGGGGATGAAGAAGGACCCTCTGACTCATATTGTTCAAGTGTGTTGAAAACACCAACCAGAAATAGACCAGTCTACCATAGTCTACCGGGTTGGGAGGTCCCCCTACTAAAATATACATACCTATCTTCCATGCCCCACAAGTCCAGTCTGACCCAGGTCCAAACCAGGTCTTTGACCTCCTCCAGTAGTGTTTTTGTATGACCACACTTCAGTAAAATGAGATCATTGACTTGTAGAGATGAAGTCTTTTGGCCCAACCACATCGTGTCGTCAGCCCATTGGTGTTTCCACCCCCAGGAATTCCTTGGACTCTTCGTGGAGGGCGACATGGAGTTCCTGGCACCCTGGCGGAGTCACCGGAACACGGGGACCGTTCCGTTCGACCCGGTGACGTTCGTAACGGAACAAACACCGCCAGACCGTGGGAAAGGCGTGGAAGCTGAGGTGAAGGAGGAGGAGTGAAGTCTTTGAAGATCTTTGAAGTGAAGTGAACCTGTGTTCCAACAAACGGAAGTGGATCTCAGCCTAGGGAGGCCTGCTACATAAACATATCGTCATACAAAAAGAATGTATTGGATTCCAAAGGTATATAATTAATATAGAATTTATGAATAACTAGATGTATATATATAATATATTTGTATATATAGTGACGGACGACTAGATAGAGTATGAAACACTATTTGCATATAAGTTTTCCAAGTACTTTCAAAAAATGAATAATGTTGAAGTGTGCAGATAGAACATTTTTTGCACATAGAATATTTGGGGCTGTTAAATAAAACATACATGCTGCTGCGGTCATGCTGATCTTACATCGTACATTTTCGTACTGTGACAGCCAAGAGCAATCAGATTATGGCAGCTTGTCCAACCAACAGCGATTGACGTGTCTATTATTGTGGATCAATCAACTCAACAACATATATTTCATAAATGCATATTCTATTTGTGTAACTGCAACTCCACTTTGCTTGCACTTAGAATATGGACCAAATAGCTTTTTGGATTTGGTTCATATTCTATCTCTGAGTCCAGTACTATAACTATAACATCACACGTGTTTTTGGGTCTTGAGGTCCAGAGGATTCCGGTCTTGGAACTGCAGAACTTGCGAAAGAGAAGGTTGACTGATGTTGACTGGAATGAAGCTCCAGGAACTGGTTCACTTATTTTCCACTGGCTTGGCAACCTGGGTTTTCTCAGGCTAGGGCCCAGGGCTGACTCATGTGAGAGAAGTTCCCTCTTTGTAGACCCCCACATGTCGGGGTCGACCTGGACTCTGTTGTTGAGTTTGACCAACTTCCACCACCAGTCCACTGCAGTTACGTCGATGGTCATTGCCCGGGAAGAAACGCCGCTTGCGATGACACGACCGCACTTTTTTTTGAAGGACGAACACGTTCGTGCAGTGCGCATGAACTAAGCTCCCCTTTATGAATAACATAATTGAACAGTTTGTTAAGATTTGTTTGAGCACAAAGGTCAGATGTGTTTGTTGGAAACTCTCAAAAAGTTGGTTTTGAGGACATTCCAGACGTCTTAGTCGTCGAACTTCTCTTCATGTTCGGCGGGAACCAACGTCGGGTCCCCTGTTGGTCCGGTTCACCCATAGTACATGGGAACGTGTGATCTCCGAGGTCATGGAACGTTTCCTCCAAAGCTTGGAGGACTTTCGCCTTCGATGCAGAGGTTTTTTCGATGCAGAGGTTCCTTTGATCTGCTCGGTGGGTGTGCAGTTGCTGAGTCAGCTGGAGCAGATGCATCGGCGACTTGGGCTACAGTTGAAGCTTCTGGAACACATGTGAGGCGCAAGGTGTGTGTTTGTTGCATTTTGTTGCAGATCTCAGGGGCTGTGGTATTTCGATTCAACCGTGTATTTGCTTTACTGCATCATATTTGCATCATATATGATTCCTGATGGGGGTTGAAACCTGCAGAGTGGGTCATTTCTCAAGCTTACGAACAGGTAATATAAAAAAGACATAAACAGACACATCTCACCTCTTGTCCTCCAGCACCCGTTTGGTCATTCATTCTTTTTGCTGTTTCTTACCATTTAGTTGAGTCAGATTCTTCACCTAGACGGTCCAGCGAACAGCACCCTCCCCTCTCCGGAACTCGTGGTCGCCCTTGAGCCCCCCAGGTTGAACTTATCACATGGAGATCTCAAGACGAAGAACATCGCCGTCGCTGCTGTCGTCGCCTCTGCGGACGGCCTGACGGTGCGCTTGATCGACTTTGGATGCTGCCGTGCCTGGGGCCGTGTGGATGGCCGTGTGGATGTTTTGATCAAGGATCGACGGGGCGCGAGAGTTGGTGGTTGTTTTTCGCCGGATGGCTCGGGCCATTCCCAAGGATAGAGGGATAGGTGTAGTTCAATTTTGTTTGGGCGGGGAGGGGGTTGCCAGGTTGAGCGAGAGCTGAAGCTTGCCAGCTGAGTTTCTTTGTTCACAGCCACAACTTGTTCCTCCTTCATGAAAGGGAGGACATGCTGTAGACGGTTCCAAGATGTTCCGAACGGGACTTTTTAAACGGAGGTCCTGTAGGTCAGATTTCCTGGGCAGGAAAACCCAGTTCATGTTGCAAAAAAATCAGGTTGTTAGCAGCAGGTGTTGCCCTCTGAAAACATCAAGATCATTCATTCAGACGGCAAAAACTCATTCGGCAAACAGACCGTGATGGCTTCCTTAAGCCGACGACTTGAACGTTGTGCGTTTTGTTGCAACTGTGGCTAGTGGTTGGAACTTGAACTGATATAGTTTTTTGTTCGGACTTGAGAACGCCCCTTGCAGCAGCGCATGAAGACAACTTGTATGCAGCCCTGAGATGAAAGACCAACAAGAAAAAGGCTTTCCAACGCCGCCAACGCCAGGCCGGTGGCACATAGAAACCGAGAGACCAATTCAGAGGAACCACTAGGCTGCTTGCGTCCATTTGCACAAGAAGACTCGAATCAAGCCAGGGATGTTCTTTCCCTTGCTCGCAGTCTCTCAATGCTTGACCCGATGGAAGATCACTCGGTGAATGGCCATTGAGGGCTAGTTATCCAGGGTTCTGCCTGAAAAAAACATAAAAGGAACATAATGCCATACTTCAGTTCCTCAATCAGACCACGTGCAGCACTGCCTTTTCCCTTCCTCCATCCTGAGGCCCTTACCGCGTGAACGGCCTCTACGTCTCTCCCCCCTCCGACCCGCGCGCTCCGAGCCGCGCACCACGCTGCGTCGGCACCACGCGCTACTGCGCGCGGGCGGCGCACGACGGCGAGCGCTCCCCCCGCTGCGACCTCGAAAGCTTGGCCTACGCCGCCCGGATGGTTCGGGTGGCAAGAAGGCAGAGGAGGTGGTTCCGAACACCAGGGAGGGGAGAGTGGAGTCAACTTTATATGTTTTTGGATTGGCCCAAGTGACGTGGCTGGCTTAAGAGAGTCGATCCAGGCATTTTGTTCATGACATCTTATGAAATCTTCCAGTCCAACTGCAGGTAGGTGGAGGCGCTGGGTTGTGGATTTGTGTTTGTGTCATGTTGTTTCTTTATTTTCCACGTGGACACACCACCTGCAATCGCACTCCTGGGAGGCCACACTCCTGAGAGGCAAAACAATCTTGCACTGAAATTGAGGTCCTTATCTACTTTGCCACTGGCCGGCTCCCCTGGCATGGCTGCAAGGGCAGTTCACGCGAGAATGGGATGGAGATGCTGAGATGCTCGGCATGGGTTTGGGCACCATGCGGTTTGCGGCATGCTGGTTTGGGAAGTGTGTGTGTGTGTGCACCTGTGAAAGGGGGTGCAAGCAGACAGAAACTTCAGATCATTGATTCAAATACAGTATATTAGTATACGTATAACCGTATAACAAAAGATTTTTGCAGGCTTCAACACAAAGGGTTGTGAGGTGATGTACAGAAACAAGGGCTGCGGAGAGTGTGGGGAAAGGCTAAAGGGCTCTAGCCGGCCCAAACTCATGGGGGTTGTAAGACAATGTTGGACAGTGATCCGCTGAGAAACTGTTTGATCTTGGCAGTCAGATGTTGCAAATGTTGCAGGTTGAAGGGCTGGAAGCGAAAAATGTGACTGATGGATGATTGATGGATAGAACTTCAGGTCTTGCGAAGGGGAGGCGTTCTGGTGAACTGGCTCCAAGAACGTTACGGTGTGCTTATTGTTATATCACCATTATCACCGGAACCCTTCGACCGCTATGTTTCTTGGCCTAAAATCATCCAAGTGGTCATGTTGATCACAGGATGGATGGTCAGTAATGTTTAAGATATGCATGAAATGATTCATTGGACGTGGGGGCGCAAACATCAAGCCTAAACGCTTGCCCTCCATTCAACCAACATGGACATGGAACACTTTCCTCAAAGGAGTAGAAGGAGTTTTTCCCTCACAAACAGGCCGTTTTCCACTTCCATGATTGTTGCAGGGAGGGTGCTGGCCTGTCCTTTGGTTCAAGAACTGCTTGCCAAAAATCAGGCAGACTGGAGGATCACATTGGCCGGGTCTCAGTGGGCTTTCCGGATGAATCATGTGAAAAGGTATGGTTTCATGTCGACAGGCACGACTCATGCAAATTCTGTTTGCGACTCATGTGCGGAAAACAACAACATCACGGCTGCGACTTGTACATTGACAGGGCCTCACCTGACAGGTGGGGAAGATTATAACAGACAAAGATCAGACGAAGGTCCCAGTATTTGTTTGCACCTTGCCATCACCAAAGCCTGCAGACTGCAGATGTCCTCAAAGACTGGGCAGAAATTGGACCGTTCAGACGTTTTTCCACGGTGGTTTGGGTGTTCAGACCACGTGGCTTCACATGCCTTCATGTGCCTTCTCACCGCACTTCGACTTCTAGGAATGAAGCAGGAGTTCTCCAACCTTAAGAGATCCTTGGCGTGCGATGTGTTTCCAGGTCCGGACTGGGCACACATCGAATCGACCACTGTCGCCCCATCCGTCGATCCCAAACGGCCGATCAGCAAGGGGCCGGGCCTGGTGCTTGCGACACGGAAGATCACGGAAGACATGTCAGCCAGAGGCATTGAGCTCAGGATGGCAGACATGTCACCTGGAAAGTTCCCTTGGAAGATCACGGTACGAACAGGGGTTTCTCATCGTTTCTCCACTTCCACTTCGTCAGATCGGAGTGAAGTGGGAATTTCCTGCCGGGTCGCCGAAGTCGACACGAGACCGGAGCCACACACCGAGTTAGGTCGTCACGACCTCCCGAGACCGTCAAGCACAAGAGTTTCAGGGTTCGTGACCGTGCAAATGCAGTTGTTTGTCAATAATTATCGCAGGTCTAGGATGGGCCGGAATGAGGGGTCTACAATGAGGTCCCAGGGCTTTGTAGTTGCCGGTCTTCTTGATTCTGGATGTGGGCCAAAAGGCCGGATGCAACCAGCATCATCGATAAACAAAGAATCCTGGCCTTTGCTTGAGACACCCGAGCCAAACAAAGTGATCCGAAACCCCAATCGAGGGGACCCAAGAAACGAATTGGACCCCGCACTGCATGAGTCAATTTGCCTCTTTTCAGTGGAGGCCCTTATGAACTTAGCCCTATGATGCCCTATGAACCACCATTCTCCATTGCATGGTACCACAGGGGTGTCCACATTGCGAATTGCCCGCCACCCACGCCGCTTTCACAGAAACGCAGACGTCCATCACTCGCAACAAGAAATTGGCCCTTGGCGCTCGCCTTGAGGCTATGTCCAAGAGTCTTTGCCCAAGCGCCTGGCGACCTTGCTGACGCGCTTGGCCGCCCGTTGCAGGGATTTGACGCTGGAAGAGGAACCCCCCTACGAGGAGCGCCGTGAGATAGATGATGATGGCTGATGGTGGCTGCGCCAGTGCACGTATTCCTTCATCGTTTGGCTATATATACTGTAAATGTGTGGCTCCTTCTTCAGATCTTGTGCTTTGTGTTGGGACCGATGTTGAGCCAAGCTCAGCCGTTGATATCAAGTCTTTCCTGGGTCGATGGAAGAGCTGCTGGTGGCTAAGCACGACAACACCCAGGTGCCCTCGACATGCCATGAAGCAGTGGTGTCTCCATGCCTTGGACCTGGGCAAAGCAAATGGATGTGGCTGAAGCCAAAGTGAAGCTCCGAGCCTCGTGGAGTGAGTGAGAGAAACCAGTCATCGCTTGGTCGCCACCCAGATACGACTCATGGGACTGCCTCGGCAGTCCTATGGCAGTCCCATCATTAGTCGTGCCTGGGATTGGAGCCCATTCTTCCCATCCACCCACGCCCCAACGGTTCGACGCTTCGACGGTGTTAGGCTCGGTGCGACCGTCCACTGGCACCGTCCAGGAGCTCCGAGCCTTGTTGACACCCTCGCCCAGGACCCACGGAGCCGCGTCGAACCGGCGCAGGGCTGGGAGGTGTTCGAAGACCCAGGATCAACTGGGAAGTTGGATGATGTGGATGAGTCCAAGTCAAAAAGTGCCCGTGGAAGGTTGGAATGCTGAGCTCAAGGTCCTGTTGATCTGGAAGTGGTGGATGCCGGTGGATGGGGAGCTTCACACTTCGAAGTTTGGCCAAATCTGCGGGCAGTCTGTTCAGATCTGGGAGATTTTGAGCTACGGGGCTACGGGCCGCCTAAAGCATTCCAAAGCCACCAGGGCTGTCAGAACCCTTGGCTCCATTCCAGGGCCAAACACCGTCTTGGAGATTTGAACCACTTGGGTGGGGCGAGATTCGATGGCGAGACACGGAATTTTTGAGCGAAAGGTCGGTTCAATGAGCAGCCTAGACACTGCATGGGACTGAAATGACTGAAACACAATTATACCTACGCCCGGTATAGTATACCGTATACCCTACAAGTTCAAAGACCTAGTAGTGGAAAGCCTGGTCCTTTGCCTCCTTGAGTCCATAGGGTGTTTATGTATGATCTGAATATGATCAACTCCAGTAGTTCTCAACCTGTGGGATAGACAATTCATTAAATTCCTAGAGAAATTCCTAGATGGACCCTGAGTGAACCACCGAAACTTGTCAGTCCAGATGCCAGTCACAAATCCAGTGGCACTGGCATGGGCATGGGCAAAAATTATGTTTGCTCTTTACACATAACATTACCACTGACACACAAGTTGTCACACAAGTATGCCAATAATTATGATTAAGCACTCCTTGATTGGTTGCACATTATTTAGCTACAAACAGGGCTGCTGAGATGAAACGGGCTTCATATAATATATGTTTTGCATGTTTATACCAGTCCCATGGAACGTTTTGATAAGATTCAACCGTGTCATCACTTGGCCTTTTCGTCCAGGGCAAGCTCCCGTGGGCAAGCTCGAGGATATGCGAATGAGGTCCCTGCATCACAACCAGCGGACACGTTGACTGAAGGTGGGGAAGCAGTGGGAAAAGGAAGTCCGCTTAAGATCGTTTAAGGCCATTTATTGCAAAGAAGTTAATGAACAGAGAGAAGAGATTGAGGAGTAGAGTCAGGCAAGCGTGCAATGACGGATTTGGGCTCCAAAAAAAATGGACACTCCTCACTGGTTTTGCTTAAGGCAATATTTGTATTTTTAAAGGTTACATCCCCTTCTGGGTAAGAGTATCTATGCTGTTCCCGGCTTCCTGGACAACAAATCCAAGCCCTCAAAACATGTTCAAAAACGCGAGCTTCGAATCACTCAAAGCGGACTTGGGCAGCTCGCCCGACTGATCAAACGGCTTTCCAGGCACGAGCTGCAAGAGCTGAGCAAGCTGCAAGAGCTGATGATGGGAGGTGAGCTGCAGCAGAGCCGATGTTGCGTGTGGGCTTAAGAGTACGGACTTTGCAGATTTGCTGAGTGGTAGGGACCGGATGATGTAGTTTTGTTTCTGAGGACTCATACTCCTATATTGAAGCAGATTTGCCTCACGTGCTTTCATGACTGAGAATTGAATTCGCTTTGTTCTAGGTCACAGGCTGCCCTGTTTCATGGATTGCTCCTGCCATCTCCCTCCGAACCCGGGCATCGTGCCACCTCCGGTGCCGCGGTCGCTCGAAAGCCTCGCAGGTCGCCATGGCGACACCGGCGGCCCGCCCCTTCCGCGCTCCCGACGACGGCCGACGGAGACGGTGAAACCGATGGAAGAGCGGAGCCCGGCCGAGTGACGGCCGTTTCACGGACGGTCTGGGGAGTCCAAGCGAGCCAAAGAGAGACCGAGGATGGGAGGGTGGGGGGAGCAAGGAAGTCCGCGAGCCGAGCCAAGCCAAGCAACGGTGAAGGAAGGAAGGAAGGAAGGAAGCAACAGTCTCGTTTTTCTCTTTGTGGTGCATGAACATGTCCAAAACTGAAAGTTAGGGTATATCTACCTAATTCAAAGGAAGAAACGATATTGTTTAGATGGAAGATCATGCGAGAAGTGGAGCAGTGGAGCAGAACTCTTTGTGCTCTCGCAGTTCGGCAGGCTACCTCAGCTCCTGTCATCCCCAAACTTGAGAAACACTTGTGATCGGATTGTGTCAGTTAGATTCGTGTCCTTTGTATCCCTGCGAACCCCGGAGACCAGTTTAACGAGTACTTTGGTTCATAGGGTATAGTTGAGATCGCTTACTACCAAAACCTCCGATCCGGTTCAAGGTCAGTGAACCAACAGAGGTTTTTCAGCTGCTGTATCGTGGCCCTCTTCACGTGCAGGACCCAACTACCCCCCACGGTACCCAACTGGCTCAGGTCGGGCACTGCTCTCGGAACCGCTCCGCCTGGGGCCCGACGGCGTTCCCGCGCGACTGCGGGTTCCGCCGCGCGACGGCGACGCTCGAGCGTACGCGTGGTGTCGAAGGGTTGGAGGGGTCCACCACCTTCAGCTGGCTGCTGAAGGTGGGAGACCAACAATTACTATAGAAACTCTCCCTGGAACGTCACATGGTTACGTGGAGTTCACCACCTGTTTGTCGTGGATTTCATGGTCTTCCTTTCGGGGCCAGGCCATCCACTTCCATGTTAGTTCCAGGGAGTGTATTCCATTAAATTCAGTATTATATCACATTTTGTTTGCATTCGCATATCCCTGTATGGAATGAGGGGGTTGACTCCCCACGTATTCTTTTAAATACACAGTGTAATCAAAACATGGGGTCAGACCTTTGATTTGATAGTGGGCGATTATTTTATAGACAAGTTATATCAGTTTTACAACATGAAATCTGTTGTCAGGACGCCTGATTTCATAGAGTGGATGGGAACAGGATACAGGGCAGAAAAATGACATATAAAATGTAATAACATGTGTTGAGCACACGGATGACCTGGTGGAGGTGCTCTTCTGAACCGCCAGGTTTTGCGACGTATGCGACCTCCGCGCGGGTGATACATGGTGGCGGTTGATACACAACAGTGGGCGAAACCAGTGGTAGGAGAGTGGGCAGTGATGAAGATTGCTTTGGAGAAGTTGAGGCAGGGGGTCCTTGAAGACAAGGTGATGCCCGGGAAAGAATACATCGAGAAGAAACTGGCAGAGATTGAGGGTGGTCAGTACGATTTTGGGGCCCATGCAAGCGAGGGCCCTATCCTGCCCTTCCCTGAAGGCGTCGCCATACCTGACCACGGCTTTTTGGGGGTTTGTTGGCCAGTTTTGGGCCCTGCGGCCCCCCTTGGCGAGGCCCAGTCTAGTGGGTGTGTACTGGAGTCAGTTTTTCAAGTTGATGTTCTGGATGATGGGACAGTCCCGAAGTGTTTTGTTCCTTGTGGCTTGGGATGCTTGCGTTTGGCCTTCCAATTACGTGAACAACTGCATGACAACCTTTGTGAACGTGCTGCAAACGTCTCCAAACAATGCTGGGCATTGTCAGCTGCCGGTGATGCAGACAGACAACCACTGATGCCTGGATCAGGCACAAGCGAGCCCTGGAGGATGCGCCCAAGAAGGGAAGGATGGATGTCACCACAGGAGTGGCTCTGACCTTTGACAAGGCATCGAGCCACGCGAATGACAAGCGCTATATGAATCACCCATGCCTGTTCGCTGTTGGCGCTTGACCACCAACAGCCCATCTCTTGGCCTGGTTCCTTTGCCGTCTCCTTTCGGGCATCCTTGGGCCTTGTCTCTCACCCCTGGAGGCAGAAAACAACCAGGCAAACATTCAATGGAACATGTCCCTTTTCACTTCGGCGAAAGATACGTCCGTGCGACCTCTCTAGGCGCCGTTGCACTATGCCGCCTGGCAGGGCCAGGTGGAGGTCGCCAAGGCGGCACGCGCACGCGCACGGTCGGACCGTGGGACCGTGGTCGAGCTGATGGCCAATTGGGAAGCGACGACTGGACACGACTGGACTGGGCGAATGCTTCGGAAGGTCATGGGTTTGCTTTTAATGTTCGTCCGGTGAGGTGGAACAACACCGGGGGACGAAACATGAGGGGTGCGACAGCAGCTGCCCGACGGCTCTTGAAAGGTCTTGAGGGACCGGTATGTTCATGGTATGAAGGTCAGACAGATCAGAAGGACTTCAAGGCCCAAAGGGTAGAGACGCTTGACTTTGTAAACGTATTGGAGCAGGCCGCTCCTACGTTTCATGTTTGCTAGATTGGTAAATCAGAGTGGTAAGTTTTGGAGCAGGCCGCTCCTACGTTTCACTTTTGGTAGATTGGTGAATCAGAGTGTATAGATACTATAGGTCCAGTCCAATAGACACCGATTGACGTGTTGTATTTCTGGGATGGCATGTCTGGGTTCCGCTAGGATCAGCCAACAACTTCGTGCCCACGGCACTGGCCTAGAGTCACGGCCCGGAAGAGAGAAGATGAAGAGTTCCAAGTTCCGAGCAGAGTTTCAGGAGCTTCCGGGGTTGTAAGATCAGTAGACCAGCCATGGGACTGGAAACTCTTAAGTTACCTGTCACAAACAGTTTACCCCATGAAAATAACTGTGTCACTCGATGTGGCACATGGGAACCAGTGAAAAAACATCTCAGAAGAAAAAGGGCGGCCCTGGTCGAGGTGCCCCAACCTACCCCAGGAAGTGCCTGGATCACCTACAAGAAGACCTTTTTCGGGGATTGGGATGCTTTAACTTTAAGCATTATATAAACAAGAACAGTTCGAGTATATTCAGTTCACCTTTTGCACCTTGACGTTCCAGACATCCAAACTCCCAAGTCCGCTCGGGAGTCCGTCGTTTGGCTCGCAGCCAGGTGCTGGTGGATGGTCAGGCCAGACGTGATCGGTCAGGAAACGGTCAGATGAAGGGCGAAGGATTCCAAGATGGCTTGGCCCTGAACATGACTAAGACGCTCCATGCAAACAATGGCCTGAAAACCATCCAATGTTTGCTGGGCGTGTGGAGCGTTTGGGTGATCTTCTGGGCCATGTTCCACTGAGCTTGATGCAGGGTGACCTCAATGGACTCGTTTCTATCGATGTTGGCTCCCTGTTCCCAATCTCGGACATGAGCAAGGATATCCCAAGATCATAGGCCCAACAAGCTGATCTCAGAAGGCGGTATAGAGAGAGAGAGAGCGCAGAGCTCTTGGAGGTGCTTTGAAAGACGGACGCTTTTGAGCCACAAGCTATGCCCCCGGACTCGAACTGGACCCTTGCAGAGCGGAGCTCGAGTGGCCGTTTGGGGCCGAATCGGATGGAGACCTTCCCAAGCACTGAGAGGTGGGTTCCTTGACCACCACGAAGCATGAAAGAGGTGGGTTCCTGACCGGTGTCGGGCTTCAGCCCAGCCAGGACAGCAGGGCTGACATGTCCGTCCCATCCACCTTCCGCATAGGCGAACCTGGAGCAACGCATGCTGGGTGGTGACACCCCCTTGCATCAGGACTGGCAATGTGGCTGTGGGGGTGTTACAGCTGTTACCTGGTATCGGTGCCCGGCTGGATTGCCTGATGGGCCGGTAAGGAGCAGAGATTGTTGGATCTCAATATTGTTGGAAATAATTGTGTGATTGTTTTCCCTCCCATTTGACCAATTGGGTTTCGACATCATTCATGTTAATCTAGGGCGTAAATCTTGTCACGCAGAGAGCGAGGGCCGTCAGGTTGGAGAGGATGAGGTGGTCAAGCAAGGCTGGGAGAGTGGAGGACAAAGAGGCATGAAAAATGACATCCTCAAGGATAAGGAATTTGGAGTTGGGTCGGCCACTTGAAAACTGCATCACGCAGCTCATTCAAAGGGTGGATTTCCAACTCAGTCAGCACAGTGAGTTCAAGTTGATGACCCTGAGTTTCTTGTCATCGATCAATCAGTGTTCAATTCAGAATGTATCAGAATGGCATTTCGAAGAGCGAGGATAAGGATTGAAGCCCTGACACTGCCTCAACACCCTACTTTTCGGCACATGCCTAGCCTATCTCATGTGCGCCACCGAGGGGTAAGAACAGATGGCCCGGCTTTCTGGGACGCTGCGTCCTTCGCTGCGTGAAGGTTGTGCTTCACATGCCGGACGAACTCTCGCATCCGCCAGCACGTTGCCAGGCCGCCTGGCACGGGCACTTGCCAATGCTCAATTTCTTGTTGAGCCGAGGCAGTGGGATCAGAGCGCGTCGCATCGCGTTGGGAGCGTTGGGAGCGTAGGCATCATCGTCCGGACAGCCAAGCTGTTAGGCAGTCCACTGGACCGGACTAGGTAGGCAGTCCACTGGACCGGACTAGCTAGGCAGTCCACTGGACCAGACTAGCTTCTTCAAGCCATGGTCAACACAGCTGAATACAAGGCTAAAAGCAAAGACGCGAAGGAACCCCAAATCAGGTCCATCGGTCAATCAATGCAATTTAAGACAGTTGAGAGGGGTGAATTTATAGTTGTGTTTGAGGTTCGATGGCACTGGCATACCAAGATGTCGTTTACATCGGGGTCAATATAAAGCACCATAAAGCACCAAACTTGGGGATTGCTACTTTGAACCCACTGTATATGCGGGTCACATCACCCCGGAACACGAAGCTGCCTGCCATATTCGACCAATGTCCCTTCATGTTCAGCCTCCCAGGCTAAGGATACCGAACCTATCAAGTGTTTTTGGTTGGTGCTTGACGGTCTAGGAATGACATGGAATGACTATACCGTACCCATTTATACCCTAGTTGACACATGTAGACACATATTTTCCGGGAAGGGCAGTAGATGCACCATCGAACCGTTTCAGAACCGTTCAGCTGTTGAAATGCTTGCGCCATCGATCGACGACCAGCATCCCATCCGAGGCTAGTTGGTCATTCTTTGCATTCAATTTGCAGGTGTCCCTGTTGAGGTTTCAAGATGATGGCCCCTTTTTGCAGGGGAGTTTCTTTGGGACGCTTTGCGTAATATAGGGGGTAAGAACGATTCGTTTGGGGTGTGATTTTTTTCCGCGAAGCCCACAAGTCTCCAGAAGTTGTTTCTGGAGTCTGCAGGGTCTTCGCCAGAGAAGCTGTGCAACAACAGGATCAACAGGGAAATTGCCAAAAGGATCAATCAGAGGACCTGTTTGTTCTTGCCCTATTCCAATCCATTCTAAAATCCTAAAAAGCCGGGCGACGGTCACTTGACCTCTCTTGGACATCTCCACCATCCTCGTGAGATCGGGTCATCTTCCGAAGACGTGAAGGTGTGAGAAGACAGTGACCATCCCTTTCCCGCCGCGACCGGTCGTGCGGGGGTTGGAGAGGACCGGGTGGAAAACAGGACCGGGGGGGTTGGATCAAACCTCCGCCCCGAAGGTTTTGAGTCAAGAGTCTACATGAGGAAATCGTGAAACCAGTTCGGTGTTTGGGGGGGCCGCGGACATGATCAAACTTGGATTCCTTTGGGAGCCTGAGGAGCCTGAGGAGTGGAGAAAAATACCACCCAGTCGGTATGTATAGTCTCATTATGTCTCATTCATCCACGTCAGACCCGTGATGCGAGCTTCTGACCTTCGAAGCTCCGAGTCTAGGTGCCTCAGTTTTCGCGCTCAAGGTGCCATCTGTGGGGCGAAAGCGTTTGGCTCACGCGCCTACAACCTGAGTGACCCATTTTGGACCACCAACCACCCAAAACAAGGTCTTCTCCCACCAAACCAGAGGTCAAATGGCTTCTGCCATTTTTGTACGAAAATGCCGGCCAAAGCTGTACGAAGATGCCGGGCAACGAGCCCTTGGGGACTCAACGGATGTTTGGAGGATCAACCTTTACTTGGTTTTGCGTATCGGGTGATGTTGTTCCTTATCCCAAACACCCCATGGGACTCCCATATATGCCTACATTGGGGTGGTTTGGGGGGTCAATGTAGGCATATATGGCATACATGGAGTGTTTGGGTATGGGTGAGCCCTTTTCTGAATATTCTGTCCCGGCTCCTGAAGAAGGCAATTAGCAAGGTCCAATGAAGATCATAGAAAGAAAGGCTTCATTTTGGGGTGGCGATTTCCTAGAGGAGGCACTACATTTGCCGGAGCCGATTTGTTTCTTTGGTCACAAGGGGGAAAGGATTTGCCTAGGAGATAAAGATGTAGAGGCTGCAGCGGCGGAAGCAAGAACCCCACTCCTGAAGCCAAATGTGTCCCCTGTCGGGAGGTTTTCTGGGTATGTTATTCTCTAAGATCCACCACACGATAGACATGTGACCTTGTGTTGGCAGTTTCTGCGGCTTACCCAATTACCCGGTTCATCCCGATCTTCTACGACCCGCCAGTGTGGCACCAGTTGATGCCCTCCAAGGCCCTTCGCTGCTTTCTTCTCCGTTTCTCATGACCCCTGCGGCGACCAGCCGCGGTCCCCCGCTGGACGTCGTCAGACCCTGCCAGACCGGTCGAGAGACCAGACCAGCCGAGCTGCCAGGATGATGGGGACACGGCCTTGGCCTTGTCCACCTTCCGGGGACATCTGGACGCGCCCCTCGGACGGCGCATGCGGACGGCTCTGGTCAAGTGGCGATAGCTCTGCAGGGAAGGAGTTGTCCAGCAGGGTGTGGCCACTTGGTCCACTTGGTCCACTCAGAAACAGATCGATTTGGGGTGTTAGATGTTGTTGTGCCACAGCTGGTAGATTGCTTTGCAAGAGATTGTTCCTCTCCTGTAGGTCCTGGGTGTATTCTAGCAGTTGGCTATCCAATGAAGGAACCATCAATGGTATAAAGGGCTAGTCACGGCTAGTCGTATCACAGAACGTGTTTTTAGTGATGTTATGACTGTTATGTTAATTATATATAATATATATGTATATATATATATGTTATATGATGTTTTCTTTGGATACTTTGCCTTATGTTGGCAATATGTTCCTCAATTGTTGGACACTTGATACTTGAGCATAGCATTTGACATGTGAATTTGGAAGTGCAAAGACCCACTTGAAGAAGGGGAAAAAGCAAAACCCATTGGTTTTGGGCCTCCCTATTGGAATCACAACCGTGTGAAAAGATCACCTTTGTGTAGACAATTTGAGATTTCGCCTCACCCAACCCCATGGTCCATGGTCATTGTTTTTTCTGCAAGGGCACCTGGAACAGCCCATTCTGGAGATATGAACAACACCGCTTTTTTTCAGGTCTAATAAATCTCCTTCAAATAGACCAGGCCTAGCCTAGCTGTCGGACTGGCGGACTGACAGGAGCACAACTAATCCTCGACCGTCCCCACCACCCAGCCCAGATCGGACCTGTTTGGGAGTGGAAGATAGGCCGCTGGCTTGTTCGGCAACATCCCGGTCCTAGACAGGTTGCGTGTCAGGTCACACTTTCCTTTTCACAATGAAAGAAGCATCAAGTGGGAAAGATTGGAAAGACCTCATGTTCAGAATTCATCACTGTAGATTATAGATGAATGATGAGTCTCTCTTACCAAGTAATTAAGTAGGACAAACAAAGCATCACGTGGTGACAACCCAGTCAGATCAGCCACTTCACTCACTGCTTGGAACCTGTCCACACCCGACTGGACCCGAAGTCTGCACCCGAGGTCACGGGAGTTGTTGCGCCGCATGACCTCCGAGGAGTGCCAGGCACTCCACTTTTCGCGACGTCGTGTTATATAGTTCGGTGGGTTTGGTGCAGAATGGGCTCCAACGTGGGTTCCAAGGGTGTTTCGCGTTTGGTTCCAAGCCGCGTTGGGCGGCTAGCCGGAAGCCCCTGCTGACTTGGCAGGGAGTTTAGATTCGATCCATAATAAGATTCCATCAGCATGTGGCGGCATGCTAGTTGGGCTTCAGTACATTCGGAAATAGGACAGTCCCAGGCAGGTCGTGTCCGGGGATAGGAACCTGACAATGATGTCCGGGTCATGGGTCTTAACCTTCCGGATTTGACCCTGACCGCCCAGGTCATGGGTCTTACCATGATGTTGGGTGTTGATGTTCCACGTCGTCTCACGCCAAACAAATACACCCAAAACACCGTGCCTTCCACGTCCTCGCCTCCGAGGACTCTGCAAGCAGCTCCGACCCCACCTTTTGCCCGGAACCTTGGAGGGTGGCCTACGCAGTGAGTGTTGAGGGTTCCAAGTGAGCTACCTGAGCCTTGCAGATGGGCAGAGGGTTCTTTTAAGAAGCTGCATGGGCTTGGCTCTGGAGATGATTGCTATATAATGAATTATGTATATACTATACGTGATTGGAATTTGGGGGGGGATGTGGAACCACAGTCTTTGCGCACGCCTGATTGCTGCATCGTCTAAAGTCTCAAATTCCAGCCTGTTCAAGAAAATCAGCCTGGAACATGGTTTGTCCTCAAAAAACTGCCTGCGGGTGTAATTTATCCCTTTATGTTCCATGTAGAAATGAACACCAACTCCTGCTGCAGACTTGTCAAGCACACTTGCACGCTGGTCCTGGTATTTCATCGCTGCATGGGAGAAAAAAACGGATTTGGGAGTACTACATGAAGAATAACTACATAATCTGAAGAACTTCTCAGGTTGTGGGAGTGTCACAGCAAGACATGGGATGAGTATTACCCGCCAACCCCACCGCCGGACATGGGACGAAATTATGGCGAAAGCGTCAGGGTGAGGGACCAGAAGAAGCAGCTGAAGACCAGCTGCGAGGCCTTGACAGAGCGATCACAAGTGGTCGGAATCACTCGCAGGATTGCGTGCACCTCAAGGAGAGCGGACCAGCAGCGAGGGTCATGTCTTGCTGTGGGTCAGACCCCTACCAACAGAGGTTGAAGAACCCTATAGACTATCCTATAGGTACCCCTGTAGGGTCCTATTAGGTCACTTAACCTCTGTTGGTAAACACTAAGCAGGTTCGACCGTTCGCCGCCCTGGCGACGCGGAGAAGAGCTGGCGCCGTGGCTCGTTCAGATCAGCGAGGTTTCCGTGGATCCATCAAGATTCTTCAGAACGGAGCTGCATGGCAGCCTAGAACTGAGGGCTTTGCTTGCGGATGCCCGACACTGCTCTCGTGGCTTTGCCCAAGCCATGCTGCCGTGAGCAGTGAGCAGGTGTCCTATAAGCTTAATTGTGTTTGAGACGGTCTTTGGCGATGGTTCCCAGACTTCACACGCCAACCATGCATACTTTTAACATCCTTTCTTTAATGGCCCCAGCGTTAGACAATGAATCAAGGTCCCCTCAATTGAGCAGGGCCCCCCAGGGGGAGCCCAGCGGGCCTAGCTAAGGTAGGGGCTATATGTGGCTATATCTCTTAAGTTCAACTATTTTCATCTATGTTCAATCTATTGTTCACTGCGGTGTAGACGAACCATCTTGGAGACCCAGTGACTGATCATCCAAAGATGCCGTGCTCACAACTGTCGGTGTCCGTCACCAGAATCCATGGGATGTCCCCAACCCATGTACCACATACTGATATTGCACCATGGTGCATCAACAGTGGCCGATTTGAAACATGTTCCACCTATAGACATGATGCGGCTCCTGCTAGCCTGGCAGCTGGTAGGATGGAGGATGGACCGTGTTCAAATTGTGTTCAAGGCCTGCACCTGTCAGTGGTTTCCAAGAAAAGCGTGCAAACTTACAGCATGGAAAGATACTACTGTCTCTCTAGTATTCTCTATATAGTTGTAGTACTAGAATCTCTAGATATAAGCGTGGCAGTGTTTATCTCTACTCGGCCTTTGCCAAGACTGAGACACTCAACATATTTGTGGCGAAGTTGAGCTGAACGACCTGCCAAGACCTCGTCCTCGACTCCCCTCAACTTGCATGGGGAGAAGTAACAAAACTGCCGTAAACGCCCCTGAAATCATAGGTTTCATGGAGTGAAAACCACCCGGACCTTGGTCTTCGGATTTCATCATACGAAATCGGGGCCAATTCACGGAGTGTAAATGTTCTAGAGCTCCAACTATATCCTCAGAAAGTGGTTAGACCCCCCAAGCCTACCCCAACCACCTTCGAAACGGAGGTGGTTGGAGCCCGGGATTAAGAGAACTACCTGACACCTTCATCGCCTTCACAGCTCATCCGCTCCGCGACGCGAGCACCAGGGAATCGACTCCGAAACTATTTCGGCCTGGGCCCCTGAAGAGCAACGAGCACTGAATTGAGGGTGGGTGGGTTCTTCAGCAGCCGCGAGAGAGAGGGTGAGAGAGGCTGCCAGGTCATGCTGCCATGTCAGCGTGAAGAAGGTGGTTCTCTCATTTTATGGATTGATGGATTCATCCACCGAAAGCTTCCTTAGACAATTTACAGAAACCCAGGTGCTTGACGTAGCAGTTAACACGAGAATGCCCATGCAAGGCGGAAGAGCAAACATGGGACCATGCGGTTCGGAGAGTGTGCTGCAGTTTTGTGCGTGGAACCTTTCGTGAAAGACCTCAGACGCATTGACTTAAGGAACATGTGTGCACGTTCCACAACAACGGGCAGCTTCCATTGGAAAAGATACGGAAAGACTCCAGAGAGGAGCGTGCCTTTCCCCCAGAGAACCCTTTACTCAGCAATCTTGAAAGTGAAAAAAAGGAAAGGAAATCGTTTTGCTTGCTAGTCAAAGTTGTGGTCAAACTCCGTTAGGATGATTTCGGATCCGGGTAATCAGATACACATCATCTATACATAACTCTTCCATTCCCACTGACTGACTGGTGATCAAACACATCATCGACTCATATCGACTCTATGACTCATATGAAGAATTATGACTCACACATCACCTCTATGTGACTCCCAGATCTGATTTTAGGATCACTGATGGATGTCACTCCGAACGCAGAGGCTGTGGTCCTCTACACACTGGGGCCAGCAGTCCGGCATGCCCAGACGCTCCGAAGCCACACCGATTTCCATGTCCGGCGTCATTCCGAACGACCATGGTTTTACCAAGGGTTTGGCACTCTAAAACCAGGTCAGCCATTTTGTTAAGGGTGTTTTGAAGGCTGATTAGGAAATCTGTCAGAAAGTGGGGTGGCAGCGAAGCGGAGGACTGAGGAATTTGTTCATTGTTGGCTGCTAGGAACCGGCAGATCAGTATAGCTGCTAAGGGTCGGATGAGCTTTTCAGGCCTGGTCAGTTCAGTTATGCGGTCAGTTCAGTTATGCCTGATGAGGTCTACATCCACCAGAGGTGTGTTTTCTGCCAGGGCCTGGACCCTTCAAGAGATGTTTCCGCAAACTGTGCAAACCACCTGTGCTCGGGCCGGAGAATCGCCTGTTGGAAAGGCCTTGAAGCACCCTTGGATCGAGCTGTCCTGTTTCAACACTCTGGTTATTGGGATTGGGTGGCGATGGTGCTTGCCAAGGATATGGAGTACCCTCCACCCAAAACATCACATGGAAGTGGAACATGGCCCCGATTCGGAAGACTGTTTTCCTCTACGAACAGGCTGTATTCCACGCAACCACGATCGTTTCACGGGGTAAGTAAAATGTACACTCCCGAAAACTCACACAGAATGGCACCCTGAGTCCGACCGTTTTCCTCTAGCTGCACCAGTGGTTGTCAGGGTCGATCCATGTGAGTTTTCAGCGGGGTAGATCTCCAGGTTCTCGTCAGGTTCATCCACCGTGATGCTGTTCCCCAACAGCTCGGTTTTTTTTGTTGGTTCTCACGGCTGTTTTCCCGAGCAAATGCTTGAAACATACATCAACACACCCAGGCCCAGCCACATGTCTAAAAAAGACAACTGTCCAAGAAAATTCACTGCAAACAACAACAACAACAACAACAACAACAACAACAACAACAGCAACAGCAACAACAACAACAACTGTAAAAGACTTGGGGGGGACATTCCATTCTATTATTCTCTCAAGGATGTGTGATCTCAAGAAGATTCCTTCCAAACATGGCACCAAAAGGTGTAAGCCCGGCCCCACACTTAACATCGAGTCTTGTCCCCATCCTTTTCCAAAGGTGGCAGGGTCTTTTTGTCCGTCTTTGTCCATTTCCATGGCTCTTCCGGAAGAAAACCTCAATTACACAAAACATGGAAGAAACACATGTTTTGTTGTTTTTTTTTCCATTTGCCGTCACGCATGGCGACCGCACCTGTGGCGGTCGCCCAAACAAAAACACCGGTCGTTGTCCGCTAGTCTCGGTCTCGCAGCCCCGAGGCGGCAACGTGGACATTCTCCGGTGCCTCGGCAGGGACCGGCAGGGACGGACACACTCAGGTTGACAGACGAGACGGTACGGAACGTCTGTGGAAGAAGAAGATGTAGCTGAGTTGGTTCTCTTTTTTGTTTTTAGTATGTTTTGGTTTCTTAGAGTTGTTGTGTTTCTAGATGTCTTCCCAATACTGTAGTTTGTTTTTCAACATTGTCTTGAACATTGTTAAAGTAATGGACTTAATCATGATACTTGTTTATATATATATAGCATTTAAAATGAACATCATTATTGTCGTGATTGCCACACCATACGTGCAAAATGGCGGCAGCGAAAACGACAGGGTCGAAATCGCTTCGCAACGGGCACCTCAGTGATGTGGCCGAGTGGTTTGAGATGTCCCTGTCCTACCCCTTCAGTGGATAACCTGAAAAAACTGAGGGGGTTAGCTTTTCTTCTGCCTGCTTTTTCCGGTGATTGGACCTTGAGGCTGCTGCAACATGCGCAAAAATCAATATATGAAAACACATGGTACGCATATTGACCATCATCCGGATCATACTGAGTCATACTGGTGGTTGAACACGTTTTTTGAAACATGTCCAATCAAACTTGATTCAAGTGGTGTGCAGGTTGCTCTTGGACGCCAAATGCCCCATCAGCCACAAAGACGATGTGGAGGTGCATCTTTGGAGTGGCTGCAGAAGTCGTAGGTACACTTGCTTACACACACCATAAATCCACTCTATACAGTAATACAGTGATTGTGGTGATTGTGACTGTACTAGTAGTGTCGAATCCATGATGACAAGTTTGACAAGCTGTTGTCCAGGAAAGGGATCATCCATGTTCCTGAACCACGGTTCCGAACGCCCTGGTTTTGCGGTTTTGTCCTGTGATTTGTGACGTTCTTCCCAAGCTAGGTCCAAACTCCCGGGGCATTGATCTGTTCCCCGGGCTTCGTCGAAGAATCCCAAGGAGCTCGGGCTGCTGCCATTCCCAAACTCGGCCGCAGGACACGGTCCTTCATCGCGCCATCCATTCCGGTTCCGAGGAGTCGCCCAACTCTGCGGTGGGAGGAGTTGTAGGAGTGGGTGGGAAGGTTTGAAGGTGGTGGTTGAGGCGCAGTCCAGAAGGAAAAACGAAGGAAAGAAGAAGGTTAAGAGTTTTCTACCTTCCATCCCACGTTTTCATGGAAGTGGATGGGAAATGATGGAAAACGGTCCCTAGAAAGACCATAAAATTCCTCATACAAAGAAGGGGGGGTTGTTCACTTCCATGTTTGTCATGTGGGTTCCCCACAACCTGTGGGCAGGCGCTGTGACACATGACTTTGGACTCCTTGAAAGGTGAAAGAAGTTTCTATCCCAGACCATCCATGTATTGAATAGAATAGATTAGAATAGTTATATAAACAAGTTACAAGTTACATACTGTTTGCCTGGGTCGCCTGAAAATGTTTAACTGGCTGCAGTATTTCTGGGAAGCCACACTGCTCGCAGGAGGCCGTGAGCCTCCTACTTGAGCGTGGTGCAGAACTGGAGGTGTCTGCTGAAACCGGCTCTGGCGGATGAGGGCTCTGGGGCTGCGAATTTCCGCACGGTGCCGCTCCCCGAACAGCCAACAGTCGACCTGAACACTGAAATGGACGAGGATTCCTTGGGTCTGTCCCATGACCTTTAAAGTCGGTCGGTCCCATCACTATCTAAGAGATAGATGTCGGCCTCCCTGCTCAGGCCTCGGCCTCCAAAACAGGCCCTGGGAGGTGGGGATATACCCAAAGGATTCCTCTCAACCGAGTTGTTTTCAGAGTCCCATTTCGTGGGAGGTATTGACTCCTCAAAAACGGGTTCTTCTCCACACCATGGGGGCTTGGGCAGAACTGATGGAAGGAAGCGAGGCACAGCACCAGGCAGTTGTAGAGCCTGAGGGCATGGGGAAAGTGGGGCACTCCTCCACGTCATCACAACGAGTTCTGCTCAAACACCTCCAAAGATGCTGAGCTCATCTAAAGTTATTCAAGGTTCATCAAGGTTCATCTGTGTGCAGAAAGACGCATAGGGGGAGGGGGAGAGAGAGAGAGAGCGAGAAAACCAGAGCAACAGATATTGTAGCATGGCTGATTCGTTGCAGGGAGCACGTTCAAAACGCATGTTCCAGCCGCGCCAGTTGGCATGGGTGTGATGGGTGTGATGGTGCACAACTGGGTGCGTCATGTGCAGTTCCAGGTCGGAACCTGCAGACGTTGGGCCCCCTTGGAGACAGGAACCTGGAGTTCTGTCTGGTGTTCGTGGGCCTGGGCGACTGTGCCAATGTACGTGGGCACCAGCATGCCACTTCATGACCAGAGTCATGGAAACCTCGCCTTTGCCAATGAAAAGAGGGAAAAGGAAGAACCAGGAGACCTCCTTCCCTCTAGCCTCCTGAAGTCAGAAGATATGAAATGACCACAAAGATATTATATATATATATATAACAAACCATTCCAAAAAAAGACTTGGGCACCCAAGATCAAGGGGAAGTTGCAATGTTCACTCCAAAAGGACGGGCCGACCTTGTGATGCAAGCTCGCCGACCGGTCGTCCTGACCCGCCACAGGCTGTGCGGGCCAGCGACGAACAGACACCCTTGCAGCTGGCACTGGTGGAAGGGTGCGTGCCGGACCGGTCCGTTCCGAAAGGAAAAAGATGTCGCTCCAAGAATCGAGTGGACCAGCGTCTTCTTGAGGCCGGGGACCTTTGGATGGCTGCCATCCGGTGTTCGGTTTGAAGATCTCTCGGTTCGACCTCCCAGTTCATCCATTGGAACATAGACCCATCTTTGCTTTCGTGCACGTCGACCAGGTACACCCGAATGTGCCGTTTCCTCATTGAGCGTCGTGCCTCCATCGACACCATGCGCGCCGACGGTGGGGAGCGTGACCGGGGGAGGAGCTGCCGGGGGAGTGCTTGGATGATTTGGTGGCGGCATGCGGCTTGGTTTGCCTGGCAACTGCAATTCGGCTTTTGCAAGTTGCTGAGCAGAGTTCCAGAAGAGACACATAGAGATCATAGAGTCACCGATGCAGGCAACACCTCAGGACCTTGCATGAAGATGTCATTCACTACACTAGAATAAACGTCACCCACCTAGCAGTACAATTTAGAAGTAAACGAGACGTTCCTTCGCAGGGTCCCTGTTTCGACGATGAAACCACGATGCACCGCGAGGGTGGGTGGACCATGGACCCCTTCTATTGTGGTTCATCGTGGGGAGGTTGAAGGGCCCTTTTTTGATCCTTTTCGATCCAATTGTTTTTTGTAGGCTAACCAATGGTTCTTCAATGGTTCTTCTATCCAATTGTGTCCAACTTTGTAGGCTTCCATAGGTTCTCTCAACCTCTTTTGGGAGGAGGAGGAGTTCCTCCTTCGACAGGAGGATCCGAACCCGGCGCGGGGAGCCCGGCCGCCCGGACGAGGCATGAAAGCCCTTCACTGCGCCGTCTTGCGAGAGGCGAGAAGAGGGGGCGGAATGCTGTTCGAACGTGATTCGACAGATGAAGGAAATCCGGTGCGTTCCTGCACTGTGGTAATCTGATTAATCTCCCAATGCTATACCAACTCATTGTGTTTCTGACATGGCTACATAATACGAAAGAGAAAACAAGCAAACAAAGCAAAAAAACAAGCAAGCAAACAAACGAGCAAGCAAGCAGCAAGCACGCAAAAAATAGACAACAACCAACAACCACAGCCACAACAACAGCACCAAGAACAAGGAGGAGATTGATCATATTCATATTATTGTTTTCGAACCAACCGCGAGCGACGTTCCCCCGGAATCCTTTGCGCGGCGTTCAGGCAACCTTTGCGCCGCGAGCAGGCCGGAGTGTTTGCTTCAGATGATTTGTAGCTGGAGCCGGTTGGGGAGAAGATCACAGACAACCAGGGAGGCCAAAAGATCAACACGTGTCAAGAGAACCCACCTCAAAAGCGGCCACTTGAAAGGAGTCGCTTTCAAAGGCTTTTTACCTTTGTCAAACACGGAGACCTCGGCGTTTGCGTCCTCTGTCGATCACCGAGGCGAGGGCTCAGTGATCGCGCTGGTGGCAGAGATGCGGGCGGATCCGCAGGCAAGGTGCACGGATCTGGTGCACGGCTCGACATCGAGTCGCGATGCCCTGGCCTGCTCCGTTCGAGTCGCATCCGAAGCGCTCCTCCAACGGTACCAGGAACCATTGGAATCTTCAGTCGTGAACACGACCTGGTGATTTCGCTCGTTCGGCAGAGGCGAAGCTGCGGAAAAAAGGGAGGGGTGGAAGAGGCTCCTTGATGGTTGAAGATGGCGTCACCCATGGCAGAACATGTGTCACCTTCGATGTATAGAAGTGAGCTGAAGGCTACCCTGCAACAATCATGGAAGTGGACAATGGCCCTTGGAAAGGCAATTTTCCTCCACAAACACGGGGTTGTCCACTTCCATGTTTTTTGCAGGGAAGGTACAAGGAGACATGTTTCAAGTGTGGCTTGTGAAGAATCTGTGGGGGTCGGGCTCAAAATTGTCGCACTCCATTTGCAACATCCGATTAGCCAGATTTGTGACATCTGGAGCAAACCAGATTCCACCAATTCCAAGCTAGGTGATGGTTTCAGAGATGTCTATTTTTCAACCTAACCACTTGGGGATGAAGAAGGACCCTCTGACTCATATCACAAAAGGTAGCCTGGTAAGGACTACCTTGAGTTTGCTTTGCGAAGCAAAGGGACTAGCTTGAGAGCCCGCTCGGGACTGCTACCCGGTCCGTCTCTACCTTTCGTGTTTCCCCCCCCCGCGCAGGTACGAAGTCGCTCGGGTCTTACGGCCTTGGCCTTGGTCCTGAACCCTGGTCTTCAGGCGCCGAAAACGTGGGTCCACGGGGGGTCTCACTCTTAGAGCCTGCCAGTTGGTTTGATTTGGAAGGGCCCAAGTAGTATTGGACCAAATGATGGTACGAGGTTTCACACCACATGATAGTTTGAGAACCTCACACCCGGAGGAGTCACATGGTTTCACAATCCAAATTGAACAGAACAAAAGGCAGTCTGCACTGTCTACGCGGAAACAGTTGGATGATTCCCGCTTGGTGGGGCTACGAACCACACCCTTTTGGTCAAGGATTTTGCCATCTTCAGCACACAGGCGCCCCGCCGAATGGTGGCCCTGCGCACGGTGATCGACATCAAGGCAAAAGGGTGCTGGGAGGCAGGGCGGATGCCTTTGGAACAGGCGGGCATTTGCATTTCAAGATGACCGAGGTTTGATCCACTAGATTGCGAGGTGTTGTAGGGGTCCAGGCAAGTGTTTGTCCAATATTTGGTCTAAAATTGGGGCTACTTGTCTTAGTTGCACAGTCCTGTTGCTTGGTGTCAGAAGGACGGAGCCCTTAAAGTATTTCAGAGCCACCATGAGCCGCTATGTCCGCAGCCAAATTGATTCAATTTGTGTGATACGGTTAAATCATGTTGAATCCCCTTCTGGTGATTCTGGTGAATATGTGTTATTTTTACCGGTTCCTTGAGCCACTCCAAGTGTGAAATCCAGTGCTTTGTTTTGTTTTGTGTCTTGATGCGGTTGAATCGTTTGGGGACCACACGCCCCCCAACAGCCAACCTGCAGGTCCTCCCGTTCCCGTTTTGCCCCGGAAAAAATGGGCCGTCGTTTCGAGCCCATCCCGAGGCCGACCTGGATGCTGCCACGAAGCCAGGGCTCCTGAGTGAAGCGTCTTCCCGACGACGTCACCTCTGGGAACCCGAGGAGTCACGGACGAAGCCTGGAGTCTGAAGCTCCGTCCTTGCTGTGTGTACATGCCACGCTTCTTTGTATATGAACGGTGTTGCATGGAATCAGTACAACCAGAAGTCTAGGAGAGAAAACCACAGTGGAATCCCAAGGCCAGAATTTGGGAGCCCGAGCTGTAGCGTTTAAGCCTTTTAAGCCTACGATTGTGGAAGTGCGTTCAATGCCGGCTGATAGCTTTCAGTCAGCACAGGAATGGACAGATCGTCCGAAGTAGATCAATGATGCACAATGATTTTTGCACGGGTGGAGACGCCATGTGTGCAGAGGTTGCACAGGTCATCTTACAATGATGCACATGGTCCATTTACTGAAGAAAACCATGTCAATCGGGCATGCACTTTGTTAGTTTGACTCAAGTGGACAAAGGGTGTGAACGAGTAACCGAAGGCTTGGAAGACGAGCTTCAGAGTGACCTTTTTGGGGTGAAAAGTTTCAGGAGTTGCTCATTCCATGCAACCTCTTTGATCTGTTTGTTGAAAATTCCCTTGCTCAGACAAGTTCATTTTTGGTTGCTTGAGTCTGGAAAGGCGACTAATGGTCCAAGTTTGGAGTTCGTGGCTTTCAAACCAAGTATATATATAATTCTTCTTGCTGAACAATAAAAATAATTGTACACTGTGAGTCTTGCTTGATCATTTTCGGGTGTCCTGGCAGCCGATTTGCTTGTCAGATCTGGTCGCTTAAACAAACCCACACATCTCCGGACTCGGACGACTCGGACTCGGAGCGGACAAGATCCCCCTCACCCGACGGCAGCTGTTCGCTGCTGTTCGTCCCAGTCCCGACGGCAGCCGCCCCTTACACACCACGGCGGCGGCCCGAGATGACGGTCGCGGGGGGGGTTCAAAGGCGGGTTGTGGTGGTGGAAGAGTTACTGACATGGGTCAGCAGGACAAATAGTGATATAATTGTATACTGTACTATTCCATAATTACATGGATTGTCTTAAAAGAAGGCAATTTCTGTGGGTGTTTTCTAAATAGGGTTTCACCATCCCAAACCATCCGGAGACCATCCGGACTGCATCCTAGGCCTCCATTGACCCCCTGATCGGCAGTCAGTATACCACTTATATACCCAGTCAGTGGATAACCTCTCAACCTTTTTGGGGGATTTGGTTTTCGCACTAAACAAGACCAGTCAGTGGAAAGTCCGGTGCTTTATGGTCCAGGAACCAACTTCTTCAAAAGTGACCTGTTTGAGGGTTCCCAAGTGAACCCTTCAAGGCTTCAGTGACATGGGTGATCTCAAAGGGATACTTGCCTGTCAACTACGGATTGGACGTGGGGTGCTCAAAAGCAAGCAGGGCAGGCCTCAGCAGTTCGTGATTTGGAGATGAACCCTCATCTTTGTTATCTCTAACCCTAAGAATCCGTACGGGCCCTCGATGGGGGCCGGACCCTTGATAGGAGAGGTTTGGGACATTTTGGGACCCTTGAACAAATCAGGACCGGCCCTGAGCAGCAAATATATACCCTGGGAGTCAAAGACTATAATTAAGAATGGTCTGACTAGATGACCCGAGTCAAGGAATTTCCTAGAAACTTCAGTCGGTCAAAATACAGTATAGTCTTTGGACTTCTAGGGTATACTGTAGATCCTTTTTGGTCCAAAAAAAACGGTGCACTGCTGTCCTTCTCTCCCTCCGCCCCTCCACGCCACCGCGCCACCGCGACGAGTTCGTCCACCCTCCGCAGTTCGTCGACCGGTCGGCGAGGGCCGAAACCGAAACCGACGAGGTGAATCACAACATGCAAGGCGAAGCGGCCGTTCTCTTGGAACGCCTGGGGCACTCGGAGTCTGTCACCGCCGTGGGGCGAAAAAACCGCGCCGGTGTCACCGGGGCAATCTGGCCGCCTGAAGTTGGAAACGACCTAGGTGGGGGTTTCTTTTCCAAGTGTTGAGAATCTATGGAGGGAGTTGGACAAAAACTAGAAGGTTTGGGATTGGAACTTGGAGTTGTGAGGGTGTTGTAGAGCAGATCTGAGACTTGTTTTATAGGTTTGTATATCATATATCCAACTTGTTTAAAACCAGAAGACCGGCATTGGTAGATGGCTCTGGAGAGGGTGGGTCCCTCGAGCAGAAGCCAGTGGTGACATCCTGGAAAGAAGACTTTAGTAGAAAAGGCTTGCTGAATCGTTAATGATGGGAAGAAGTCTGGAGCCGTTTGGAACATGAAAAACATGTGTGTGTGTGTGTTTATGTGTGTTTATGTGTGTTTTGTTGTTTGTAGTCCTGCAACTCAAGTAACTCAAGGGCCAAGTGCTAGAATTTGCGTGGACACGTCGGACACGGTCCTACAATGTCCTACATCCGTGGATTCAACTTGCTTACATGACAGATGTTGTTTTCTTTCAGTCCACATATTTGAAGTTCATGTTGCGACCAAACAAGAAGAATCGAGGCTTGGAGACCAGAATTCCATCAGACCTAGGGACCACTGAACACCTGACAGCTGAGGAGGATGGACAAACTCCTTTGATTGACAGCATGACAAGGTCATGTCCAGCATCATTCCCGATCCAATTCACCCCCCTTCGAGGTACGGGTTTCAGGATGCTATTCCTCACCCCATAGATCCAATTGGTTGAAGGATGTTGAAGGTGAGGAAGGAGACTCTTCAACCAACTCGGTGACTGCTCCGCCGGCTCCGCCGCCGCATGACCCGCTCCACAGCGATCGGTTTCAGACGAAGCGGTGACCGTCCATCGGTTTTGGACCGGTTCCGCGAGTCTCAAGTGGTGAACAGTTGGACTTTGAGAAGCTCGGTTTACAGCCCAGAAACACCACCCATATCTATATATATATAGTCTATATCTATATACCAGCAGTCACGAAGGGGTGCCTATAAAGCGCTCCTTAGGGGGGGGTGTTCAATTAAGACCCCTTTGTGACTGCTGGTGATAACATCTGACATGTGGTAGGGGTGACACAAATTCAGTTCTTTTCTGATGGAAGTCCTGGGATGAACCACTCCTGTTAGCATGAACCCTGGTACACGTCTCCACCAACCACCCCTTGCTCAGCAGAGGCATCTTCCGCTTGACCTTGTTTTTTAAGAAACCACCACTGGAACGCGTGTCAATGCGTGTCATTCGCGTGTCGGTGGTTTTCAAGGGGGGTGCCCATTAACCACTCACTTAAACAAAAGGGGTGTCTATTAGGCACCCCTTTGGTGCGTGTCGGGTGGTTTTTTGCATACCCCCAGTGCGTGTCAAAACGTGTCGGAAATAACCCATTTTTTGGATTATAGTAGATTTGCAGAACACCTGGCTCAACTAGCATTTTGCACGTGAGCCTGCCTGTTGGCGGCTTCCAGAGTCAGCACGAAGAGCCGCTGAATGAGAAAATGGGTGGATGGGTTTGGGTGAGGGATCGACTACTTTGCCTCCAACTCGGTTTAAGATATATATCTTTTCTCATGTTCCAAACCATGACCATCAAAGGGGTGCCCAATATCCACTCACTTAGAAGATCTCAAAAATAAAAACCAAAAAGCATTCCTTTGTGACTGCTGGTATATATATATATATTGAGAGAGGGTCTACTATAGAGAGAGGGACTACTATAGAAGTCTGTAAGTCTATAGAGATTTGCAGCGTTTGTCCAAGAGCGGCCGGAAGAGCCGGACTGATCCCTTTGGTGAGTCGTGCTGTGTCCAGCAAGGCCGGGCTGATCCCAACGTGCTCCTTGGCCAATCCGAGCTCCGGATCAACCCGGTGAACCCTATGGTGAGTCGTTCCATCCAAAATGAATTAATTAAGAAGAAATCAATTACAGTATATCAGAAACACGCCGTCCCCGTTCCGCTCACCCTCATGTTCTTGGTCCTAGAACGGGGTCGGTCCTAGAACGTTCTTGGTATTTTGATCTTCGACCCAAGTATCTAAACTTACAGATGTTATGTGGAGCTTGATCTCCACAGTACGTATGATAGAAGCCGAAGCCCTTTTCCAATGCATGTTCCAGGGGAGTTGTACTGAATATCTTTTTTGAGGGCATTACATACTCCGTCGTCAACCTTCCTGTCACCACAGCGGTTTGGATGCGCCCCGACTCCCCGACCGCTGACAGCCATGTGTCAGGACTGTCAGCATAGGAACCACGCAGTGGCGAATAGGCTTCATAGGAACCCCAAAACTATGCCTACACAAGCCATAAGAATCGAAGGGTCAAGTTGTTTTTTTAATCAGATGTTGATCTGTTTTATGTGCAATGATGTGCAATGCAAAGTGGTGCTTCATTTGTTTTGAGGGATGGTGGCCTGTTTCAAAACGATGGGACGAAGCTTTTCTTTGTTTCACCAATTCTACGGGCTGGGGGCCTCGGGGAAAGATGTTCGAAACCGAGTAGGACCGACTACCACGGACTCGGTGCCATATTAGGTTAAGCATGGTGCCATATTAGACCCTATCCCGGTATGCTGATGATCTGACGAGCAAACGATGAAGGTTTAGTTCTGGCTTTTGGAGGGCTCTTGTTCTTGTAGGCAACCACCCTCAACCCTCAGATGTTTGTCAAGCTGAATGTCACGGCGAACTCCCTATATACCAACCCAAGCGTCCATTCATTTGATGTTGATCGATGTTGAACATTCATAATTAGTTTGACGTTTGCTGCATAGGAATTCCAGGACCGCCAGATAGATCTAAGATGAGACAACTGCCAAGCAGCAACCCCAAAACGCACCTTCAAAGATTACCATTCATATAGCATGTTTTTCGCTTCGCCCTCAGCCAAACAGACCCGGGTTCCTGGCCCCACTGGCCGCGGTTGCATCGCAGAACCGTTTCGGAGGACGGAACCGCCGTTCTGCCCAGGTCCCGTCAAGATGCTTGCACGCCCTTGCATTTGGCCGTCTTTAAAGGCCACAACCGATGGCGTGTGGGGGGACCAGTGGTTTGGAAAGTACGTACCGTACGGCAACCCCAACAGCGGCAGCTTACTAAGGCAACCCCTAACTCATGGGCCTCCGTAGTGATAGTGCGAATGTTGATCGATTTGCTTGCTAGCCGTGAATTTTCAAGGCCACCTAATCCCCTGCCTCCACCCAGAAGGACACCGGTGTCGGGTGTTGTTGAACTTCTTCTGGGTTTTGGACCTTGGGGGGGGAACACCCGGAAAGGCCTCTTGAATCCTCTCGATTTTTTCGCAGCGTTTCACTGATTTGCCTGTGGTGTGTGTGCTGTTCTGGACCCCAGTCGTGACTGTTGGTCTGGAATCTAACGATGCACCGTGGGTGACTATGTTTTTCCTGGTCATTATGTTTGACCTTTGACTTCAAAGCACAGCTTTGAGAAAAAAGAAAGCAAGGACAGCGGCATGAGCACTAATTCTACAAAGAAAGGTTGTAATGCGGAGTTGACAACCCCCGTACGACATAACACGTTTGCTTGTCGAAGGCCGTACAGGATAAAACAATCTAAGACAGTGCCAGTACTTGTTCAGAGGTAGCTGGAACGGATGCGTGTCTTTTGACGCATGTCTATACACGTTCTACACACAGTCAGCGTGGCAGTGACTCTACACCAACGTCTCAGGTTAGTCACTCGCAGGTGCCACGCCTACATTGATCCCCGAAACTACCCAAGGAGTTTCACACACTTGCAAGAGAGGTTGAACAGCCATATATATCATATATAGCCCATCCCATATGCACCACGACAGGGTCCTATGTGGTCTCTCAGCCTCTCTTGGTTGCATAAAACCTGGGAGTCAAAGACAATAAAGAGAAAACTAAAAGGAATGGTCGGACTAGGTGACCCGAGTCAAGGACTTTCCTAAAAACTTCAGTCGGTCAAAATATCGTCGAACTGGACTTCTAGGCTAAATGGAGTGGGTGTGATCTATTAACTTTCAACTCTTTGGGTGAAAACATGTTGGAAGATGAGATGGTGGAACGACCATATCCGGTGGGCGTTTGCTTGACTGACGTGATACTATATTTCCGTGGTCGAAGCACAGTGTAACCCCCAAACTCCCCGTGATTCTGGCAAGGGCTGTAGGATTTTGACCCGTCTCAAGCAGATTCAAGAATGGGATAAGTAGGAATTTCAACCCATCTCAAGCAGATTCAGGCATGGAGTTTACCCAAATTTCTCGCCATTCATCCAGCCTCAACCTGCTCCCGAGGCTCCCTCCCCATGGTGGAGCTGCTTTTGCGTGCTCGTCCGGCGGCCTGTGTGGACGCGCGCGCGAACGGCGCGCGCACGCGTTCTTCGAAGGGCACGCGTTCTGCGCCACCGGAAGATGAGACGGGTGAGGTTGAACAAAAGGTAGGCTCTTGATGATAGGAAGAAAAACCGTTCTTTAGAATTAAGAATCCTCTTAAGATGGAAGATTCTTATTGATTCGCCACATTCGTGAGCCAAGCACCGCTTTGCCAAGCTCCGCTTCGTCGATCCCAGGTGCTGATCCCAGCCTGCCGACGCGGAACAACCTCTCCGCGCTCGAGCTGGCGAGGCGGTGGCGATGAACACAGCTGACCCGTTCGTCGTCTCGTGTCCGTCGAACACTTGGGACACCCGAGAACGAAGAAATCACGGCGGAAGTGGCATGGCATGGTTCCTTGCAAAGGGCCTTTTCTTTACAAACAGGGGCTCTTCCACTTCCATGTCAGTGAGTCGGAGTGCAATCCCCCTGGCCATATCCTTTGTTTTCCATGAGCGGGTCAATTCCATCCTTCCGTATCTATAAAATGGGTGGTGAGACCCCGGACACCCTGGCAAATTTGCAATGGGTATTTTACATACATTGACACCTGAAATGTTCTAGGGCGACGTGTGAGCGCTTTTAACCTGTTGCTGCACATTACTGTACCATGCATATATAAGAGTATATATAAGATATAAGTACATATGAAACAGTTGTTCTGTTTTTGTTGGCACATGAGCTTCATTGAATGTCATTTGATGCACTTTGATGCAGTGAATAGCGAGCAATGGCGAGGGAACATTGCAGAGTCGCAGAGCTCAATCTTCCCCCGCCAAACTACAAGAGACGAGGGTGGTTTATCCCGTTCGACCAACAAGTGTTGCTTCAGTCCCTATACAGGCCAAAGGATGCAAAAAGGAGCATCTAAACGACATCATGTACCTGGACCATCCTGTTTGGGAGTCCTGGCTGGACCACCCTGCACTACGTACTGGGACCTCCATGATACACCCAGGAAATGCATCGTATAGTCACCATAGGATTGGCGCTGAGCCGCTGAGTGTTTCAAGATGGGAGTGTTTGTGTTGGCAAAGCTTGAATCCCATTGCATTTTCACACGAGCGGTGTGCTAATATTATGATGTTCGGTGTGGGTGAACCTTCTGGAATGGCTTTGGTGCAAGGGTGGTGTAGATAGAAGAAATGCACTCCCACCTCATCATGGAATGCCGCCAGAAATGGAGAGTCGCACGAAGAGGCCATCTCCCCAATCATTAGATTGATCCGCTGCGAAGAAGAAACATTTCATCACACTGCAGAGGTGGAAGTTGTATCTTCTCGACTACAGAAGAGACACTTGGGGTCACGTACGGCAAGGGTGTTGGAACAGGCGATAGAAACGTTATGTTTCTTTTTCCCAGGCTAAGACTAAGATGGATGAGCGCGACTAATTGCCTAATTGCTGATATTGTGCTCAAAAGCCAAGGGAGGTGAAAGTATCAGAGGAACTAACACTCGTGTTTCTTCACTGGTACAAGGTGTGGACATGTGTTGACCCACGGGCAACTGTTGAATTGATGGCACCTGGCATCCCATCAAATTCCACCCGTGGCGTATACTGCGAGGCAACATGGATTTGATGCAATACTGCGCCGATTGCAGCAGTGAGATCTCACGTGACCGCCGAGTGGTTTCTGGAATGCGGTCGACCGACCGGAAAGAGGTTCTCCACTGTGCCATTGGCCACTGGCAACCCTCTCGCCACTGACGCAAAGCATGGGCTAATTGAAAGATATAGGACAGTCTACCTGCATCCACTGGGCTTGTTCAAATAAGAAGGGCAAGATGGCAAACGATGCTGGTCGGCCCTTGCGCAGAGACTCGTGATTTGAGGGCCAAAAGCGGCGCACTGAGAGAGCTCGTAACCACTGCTGTGGACGTCAATGAAGAACATGTAAAGATGTGCCGCAGTTGGTGTTCATACCGCCATGAATCATAACTAAGACGCCTAGCCAGTCAGTGGCAAGCGGTGAAGCACCCTTGCCTGACTGTTCACTTCGCTCAAGAGGTCAGTAGGGACTGCCTTTCGTTTTTGGGGCGTCCGACGGAGTTCAGGAAAGCATCGGGCTGGACACCCCAGCTACCAAGGAAGAAAGACACATGCACACAGCATTGGTTCATTTGCCCTAAGACCCTGCGCTTTTTAGCTTCAGCATCTCGCGCTGGCCTGGCTGCCTGGCTCATCCAGCGTGCTCATCCAGATTAGGCTGTGCATTGCCTTCAAAGAGGCTCGTGCCTTCGATGGCCTTTACTGTAGATTTACGTTTGGAAACTGTGAAGAGGAGAGGCCAGACACTTGGATCAAAAGGAGTTCTTATTTTCAGTTGTTCCAAAGAGTTCTCTTCTGGAGAAACAATCACAAAACCCAGCGTATCCAGTTACCACTATAGTAAGATATAGTAAGTAACCAGTGTTTCCACAGACTTCAGCAGTAGACCTAGAAACCCTGGTTCCTTATTTGGTGGTAACAAGGCTTAGGATCCATTGGTAAATCATAGTTGTTACAGTTCTTCAATAGTCATGATATCTACGCACACTGTGGTGAACATTGAGCCGAGATCCATATCTTGAGCAGAGGTCCATGTCGTTTGTTCTTCGACAACATCGACATGGTGACATGGACAGTTCGAACAGGAAGCTGAAATTGCTGAGCTTTATCCCAGCTTCATGGTCTTCAGCAGTCATGACCTTGCTAAAACTGTCCAACACTTCCCTATATAAGACGATCACCCACTCCCAGACATATAAAATACATTAAAATACTTTCATGATGCACTCAATGATGCACTCCTCGTTTTTGCTTGGGGGTGCGCTGTCTCGCTCTAGCCAGTTCCGACTCCTCGGACCTCGCCGGGGTGGTCCCTCATGGCGAGCCCGGGCGCGCGGTCCGGCGCGCGGGGCGCGCGGCTTTGGACCAAGACGATGGAAGCAGCTCGGCTGGGCGGAAGCACGGCTGGGGAGTAGCATTTGGGATCGGTGTGTGGACGATGGTGAGAGGAGTTTTGGGGACTCAGACAGACGACCTTGAGCTGACAGAGAGATGTATTCCATGGAAAAAGACAGAGAGATTGAGAGAATCGCAGTTTCATGGAAGTTGCATTGACACCTGCAATTCACCAGGTTCTGTTCAGACAGCAAGTAGCACACGGGTCGATGTCTTGTTGTTTAGGTTCCATGTGAATCTTTTCAATCACAAGTTGATGAGAGACTTAACAGACTTCTTTACTATACTCCCAGATGCTCCATGGAATGCCCATGTTGATCCCTGGAACCACCTTTTCTACAATAAAGGCAACCTCCTCATGGGTCCCCGGTGCTTTGTACTTGGAGTCTTTGGGCTTCTGTTGTGGGTGGCGGCAGCTCGCGGGCGCAGTCCAGGTCGACCCCGTACGCCACTTGAAGCTCTCGCTCATCGAGGATCCCACGGAAGACGTGGATGGATGCTTGACGCACCGAACTGGATGAGATGACCAGTGGAATTGGTTGGTTTTTTCTGATGTCTGTTTTTGGGGGTTGTGTGTGTGTTAAACTGTTCTTTTGGGGAACCTCACGGGAAAAATGGGAGGGAATTTTGTTTCTTTTTCCTAAAAGGCCGGTGGTTTGATTTGTTCTTTTGGGGGGTGGTGGGAAGGGGCCAACATCGGACCCAGCACCAAGAAACCTGACGTTGGACGTCCGTGAACGACGCTCAGGTGACGCGTGGTGTGCGTGGTGCTTGTGGCCTGCTGCCAAGGCTCACGGGTAGTGTCACGGGTTCGCCAGGGGAAGAAGTCGCCTCCTGGTTTTCTTAAGGTGAGCTTGATTTTCTCTTTTTGTTGCACAGCCACGGTCAAAACCTTGACAACATCGTGACGCGGTTGTTCTGGTTGGTATCGAGATGTTTCAGGAAGACTGGATGGACACCAGATATGACTCAACGCCCAACTCAACATTGCTGGGCACCCCACCGATCGCTACATCGAACCCAAAAAGATGAAGATGGAACCTGATGGCATGGACCAGACTGGAAGACAATTGGCCTCTACAACCCGGTGGTTTTCAGGTTCCATGTTGGTCTCTTCCAGGGCGCCTACTCTTTGGTGCCGGGAGTCGCCCGCCTTTCGATCGCTGCACGTCCGTACGCACGTTGCCACGTCGCGGTCAGTCGCACCGCGAGGTGTTGATGGCATACTTGGCCACCTTAGAGGACCAAGAGCTGAAAGAGAAGAGACTTGGCTGCTTTTTCTATCTAATTACCCTCTGACTCACTAACATGGAAGTGGAAAATGGTCACTTGGAAGACTATTTTCCTCTACCAACAGGGGGTTTTCCACGTAACCATGTTAGTGAGTCAGAGTGTATTGGGAGGTTTGATGATGTGAGATCTCCTCAAGGAGTAAAGTGGTTGAAAAAACAAGGCCTTGGAGATTCTCGGTGGAAGAAGAGGGAAATTTTGAGCACCTGCATGTTGGTGGAGAAGTGAGGGAGCTAGCCATCGCATCGAAAGTGGTGTTGTCGTTGACGTTGTCGTTGCGTCGTCGTCACCGCCGTCGTCATCATGGTGGTCGCAAGGGTCGTGGTTGTGGTCGTTTTGGTCATTCGCGTAGTTGAAGTGGTTTTGGATGGTTTTGGTTGTTGTGGTTGCTTGTTGTGGTGCTTGCGGCAGCGGCAGTGGTGGCGGTGGTGGTTGCTGCTGGTGGTGGTGTGATGTGTTCAACTATTTCAGACATTTCAGCCTTTGTGAATTAAGAATGTACCTGGTCCATCTTGTCTGGGTGCCCTGGCTGGACCACCCTACACTACTTAAGCATCTCCATTGGGCACCCAGACAAGACTTGTCCATTAGGCATCTCCTTAGGCATCTCCATTGGCAACTGGTTGGAACGACTTTGGACGTGTTCACCTCCCCACAGGCACAACATGTTTGAGGTTCCGGATGGCACCATCACCCACGGATGGTCACTACCCACATTCCACGACCAGGTCACGGATGATCATTTTTGGAGTATCAAAGCGCGGTACTGTATTGTTTAACAAGAATCATTTGGGACCACCGCGCCATACTGCGCTCAAGGTGCAGTTCACTACTATTGCCATAATGCGCTCAAGGTGAAGTCCATTATTACAACCTCAAGACTTTGGGGGACAAAACGAGGAACGTGCCTTTTCCAGAGCTAAAGGCTTTGAAGCGGAATGCCGAGCCAAGTGCAAAGAAACACTTTTGTTGCGAGCTGTTCACCCTCTATTTTGCACTAAATACTGTGCTTCTAGTTTTCATCATCCATGTACACATGGTCGTGCTACCTTGCTACCAGCGGCACAAGTCAAAAAGGTTTCGTTTGGAAGGAGACCTGGTGAGGGGCGTTTGCATTATTGGTATGAACTCTTAGACGTGAATTCGCTCAATGGACTTGGTATACTAACCTCCAACCTACGAGAGAGGCAGGTCGTCACTCGGCGCCTCGAGACCGCAGGTCGTCTCCGGTCGCTGGGGAGCCGGAATTCGGATCGACTCCGGGAGTCCCCTTGCCAACAGCTGAGAGGCTGGGATCGCATCAGCACGACCACGAGTGTTCGATTCGTCCGTTGAGGAGTGTTTTAGAGCTGGGAGCTGGCTGTGGTGCCGTGGGCATGTACGCAGCACTGCGAGGAGCAGCGATTCGGAAGGTGGTGTCACCCGTTCGGTTGGAGGACATCGAGAATCCCCGTGCTGGTGGAAGGTTCGAACTTGTTGCTCAACGAGTCCGATCGGTCCCATCGGTCCCATCCACGTGCACGCGAAGGCGAACCATGACACACCTTGCTTGTGTGGCGACCAGGGCAACCGCAAACAGTCCACACAGCTTTACTTTCTTGAGTCTTCCCCACTCAATAGGGTCCATGTTGTTTGTTCTGATGGTCCTTTTTCCCGGGTCGGGGAGCAGGACTTTATGAGACCACCCATTGAAAGAAAAGCCACTGACAGTATCTTCAGGAGCAATGCCGGTGGTTCTGACAGATGTGGAGAGTGCATTGCCGCTTTTGAGACCTGGGATTGATGAGGAAATCTTCGCATTTGGCCCTACCACCAAAAGAGTGGATTTGCCGCACGTTTTGTGCGGGATTGGGGACGCCCCAAATCAAACAGGTGGACCAAGCTTCGATGTTCCAGGGAAACTGAGGGGGTCAGCATGAGTGATCAAATCACCTCCCCAAACCGGTTGAACATGTCTTTGCGTGGCACGTGTGCCAGTCCCTTGACCCACCCTAGATGAGTTGATGGGTGAGAGAGCCTTAGAAAGCCTATAGAGGAATTGTTGGGTGCACATACAGATCAAAAGTGGATTGTTCTTTAAAGATGTGTTCGCAATTTGTGCATGAAATACAACAATCTATTCTGAGCCATTCCCCCATCGGGACTCTTGGACTTCTCAAATGAGGCCAAGCACAGTCTGACTTGGATTTGAGACCGGTTGGGGGAGCTTTACCCCTGACAAATTTGGAGACCTGCAAGAGAGATTTAGAGAGATATGAGATATCCTAAAATGTTTTCTTAGGCTTTGTGGCTGCGCTGAGAATATGTCGCTTTCCGGAGATGGAGATGAATACAACACAGTGACCTTTGATTCCCCAGGCGCCCAGGCCCGCAAATCCAAGGAGGCGGAATTTAGCACAAAACTGCTTGGGCAGTCGATGCTGCACTTGCCCCTTGCTACTCAGCACAAAGGTTCATGGAGATTTTGAGAGAGCTTTCCCATGACAGTGCAGACTTCTCATGGTTTCTTGCTCAAAACTCGACAACTGTGACCCGGCTCATGTATATGTCGAGGACGTGCAGATACAAGTGCACGGTGCACAGCGTTTGGTCAACTGTATGCTTACAATGACCTGACCAAAAAGGAGGAACGGAACCAGCACAATGATCCAACAACCGGGCCGCTGGCGAAACGAGACATCACATCTCCCAGTTGGTTGGGCCATTTCAGCAATGTTTTTGTTGAAAAAACACACCCACCCCGTGCGCACCGACATGAAATGCACCGCCGCAGAACAGACACAGTTCGACTCAGATCACGCAAACAAGCACTCGCTGTTTGGCATTTTTTGCTTTTTTCGTTCATGGGGCGCTCAGTTGGTTGGGTTCTCTTGGGGCACCGTAATGTAATTCCCAGGCTTTCGCTTCTTGAGCGGCGTCTTTTTGACAAGCGTTCGAACGAAACGTTCAGACACGCCCCCTTCACCGGCTGGGACGGAATGTCTTGGGTCCAGGTTTTGGGGCACTCCCCTCCACCGGCTGGCAGAGCCTTTGCAGCAGAACACGCCCTTCGACTGGGCGCTGGCGGCCGATTGCAGCTCCGAGACGGCGATTTCGTGTGAGACCGCGATTTCGGTCTCATGACCAGGTAGTGTGGGTAAAAGAAGGAATCAATTCCAATTGTTGAGAAAGGCCTTGGGTAAACCTGTAAGACTAAAGTACCAGTCTGGCCGCCTGGCCTTTCAACATGTTTAACTGATTGTGGTATATTTACAATAATAGCAATCATCATCCACTGGCCCCTGGTTTAGTGGGCGATACCCAAACACACATTGTCCAAGAGACCTTCACGCGGTTCTTTACGCCTGCACGAAATCGAGCAAGACACGTGGGTCAGTGGCCCAGTCAGTCTCATTCAGCAAAACCTGCAACGGCTCTTTTTGGGGTTGGGGGTAGTTTGCATATGTTTGCATTTCCAGTGTGAGTTCTGAATAGTGGAATGCTTTTAAGATATGGTTGAAGAGAATGGGACAAGAATGCTGATGAATATGCAAGAAAAAACAGGAACATACAGGAACCAACAAGTCTACCAGGGACTCTTTTTGCCCATGTGTTGGACAGTTATGGATGGTCCCTTTCATCACTTTACAGCTCTCTGAGTGGTTCGCTCAAGAAGATGTGATGAAGAGCTTGTTGTCCGCCTGGTGCTTACTGCAGGATCAGATATTAACAGATGATCCAACCTTTGGATTTCCACCCAAAGATCCAAAAAGAAAAAGATCTTCGTTTCGGTCCTTCATAGTCCTTCTCCCAAAAAGTTGCCCAAAAGTTGGAACAAACAAGTCCAGATTTCCCGACGCGAGCTGTCAGGCTATGACTTTGTGAGTCCCGAGATTCCCAGCTCCATCGACGCGTTGCTGTGCTCTGCGCAGCTGGCCAAGCGTGCGCTGATTTGCGTATCTCGCAGGCGGAATGAGGTGGAGGCGAGAGGAACTCAAGGGCGATGAACATGGGGATGCCGCCTCTCCCAAAAAACATCAAAAAGACACATCAGAAAAAGGGACTTCATATGGGATTGTCCGGGTGTGTGATCCTTTCGGTGGCAGAAACGGATTCATTAAAACATAATTTGAGGGTAGGGGGTAGATGACCTCCATCTAAGGTATATCGGTAGATGACCTCCATGCTTTTGTTTGCATTCGTCCTTTTGTTCGGTTTCATTGTTGCACACGTCCTGTGAAGCCACTTTGACTTGCAGCGATCCACTAGCATGTGCCACGCCAGAGATGGGGCTGAGGGGTGGGGTGGGGTGGGGATGCTGAAGTTCGTTACACATGCACACGTCACATGTTCGCCACGTTGACAGTTCTGATTCTGATTCTCAATCGTTTTGGATGGGCTTACGTCTTTTCTGCCCAAAAGGAAAGTGAGGATCTACTCTCTGACTCATCGACATGCACGTGCAAAATAGTCCCGTGGAAGACGACTTCCTGTACCAACACGGGGGGTGAACTCCACCTCTATGTGATGTGTTCGTGAAGAAGCGTACATGCATGGAATTCCCTGACTACTCGTGTACCATGGGGGTGTGTTTTTTGGCACTAGTCGAAACAGTGGGAGCAAGTGCATCACTATTTTTGAGAAAAGCCTTTACTAACAATCATCCAGTGGGATATGCCCAAGGAGTACTTGTAACGTCAAATCCGCTGAGTCAGTCAGGCCTTTCTGGCCTCGGTCGAGCGTGCGGGAATTCAAGCTGAAGTGGTCCATTCGCAGCGGGTGGACGAGGCCAAAGAGGGGGTGGCCGAATGTGTGGTTTTTGCCCTTGAATTTCATGGTAAGTTGAATGAAGGAAAAATATGTTCGGAAATTTATATATACATATACCGTACCAAAACAATATACAATAGAATTTATAAATATATAATATTATATATATAGGATTAGTTACTGGTCTGCTGGCACTTCGTGCAATCGTTGGTCGAAGTTTCCAGGACCTCCGGAGTGGGGATCAAACAATGGTTGACAAAATCAAACTATTTTGGAGTTCTGTTTTGGTGCCGCAGAAATCAAGAAATGTTATTTCGGAGTTCCCCACCTGCCAGGTAAGGATTGTTAGATTTTATCAAAGATCTTCTCCTCTCCTCTTCTCCTCCTCTCCTTCTCCTCCTCGCCAGCAAGTTACAGCAAGTGGCAGATCGCAGTGGGCACTGCCGGACCTCAACAGCAAGTGCCAGATCTCAGTGG